AATTAAAGATTTGAGAATGTCTACAGGAAGAAATATTTCACACGGCTCACGGTCATGAGGACGTCAATACGTTAATACGTAGGCTAATTCCTTATGTTTGCCACAACTCACAAATGTTGATCTTATACGTAATACTGTTGTACTTATCTGAGTAACTTAAACCAATCTCATTACGATTTGGGCGTTAATTAAGATTCAATACAAGTAGTTACGTGAAAAACTCTATTAAATTCTAGACTACTTAGTTGTTTTCAGAGACTTCATCTTTTATTTTTTTATATAAATAATAGTAAAAGAAAACATAGATTATGCCCCTCCTCATCATACAATCTATATTCATAGAAAATTCCTTTAGGATCTGTGCTTCTATTTAATATTGAAAAGTTAATGTACAGACTAAATGACTTTTGCATATATAATATTAGTAAGTAAAGACAAATATTACCTTTATACCAGTATTGGTATATCACCATTTATATATATTTATTTGTGACAAATGGTAACGTGAAAGAATCTATAACTACTCATATGATTTTTTTTTAATCTGCATTTTTCAATCTGTTCAAGATTATATACTGTTTTAAATTTGACATAGTCATTATATATATATATATATATATATATGTATAATTAGTAAAAATCATAGGATCTCACCATGTTTTAGTTTTATTGAGTAAAACAATGGTGAAATATTGGGAACTCACATTAATTAAAATGTGGTAAGATCTCGTGATTTTTACTAATTATACTGTATAAGATTGTCACATGTTTGTGATATATATATCTATATATATAGTATATTATTACATACTTTATTTTAAAGTAAATATTAATTAATACAAATGTATATTGAATTACTGTATAACGATGAATAGAAGTTTTGAAATCTTCAAATGCAATTGAAGACTGAAAAGAAAGGAATGTTATATAGAATGGGAATAAAGGTGTTCTCATTCAACACATCATTAAAAAATTGAATGAGAAATATTTATTCATATTCATTCAGGACATTTCAGCCTCTTATACACATAATTTTTATCACTATCCATATATTCCCATTTAACTAGATACTTTAATTGAAAAGAATGAGCAAGTAACTCAACAATATTTATTTTATTAGTATTTCGCAATACTTTTCAGTGGGTTGATGTTTGCAATATACAGCTTATTGTAATTATAAAGACATAAGTATAAATGTAGATGATGAATTCATAACATAACTGAAATAAAAATCAGTATTAAAATCTATAGTATTTAATATTGACTAACGACTAACGAATAATAACCAAAATTGACATCTGTTTTGTCTGTTGCATGTCACAAATGACAAAATGTGTGAAACTAATTCTAAAGACCTTAAAAACCACATATGTACCACATTTTAAGCAATAAATATTCATTTCATTTCATTTCATTTCTATTCTTTTACATTTTTATTTATGTAATAAAACTTCAATACACAAACAAAGGTACAAATGGCGAATTTAACACCTAGGACATATTCTCGCTGTTAATCATAAATAGAGATTGCTTAACCATATGTTTATTTGTATTCTTTTAACTGTCAATATCATTTAATCATTTATTTGCCACTTATACACTTACCATACCACATTTACTAGTACTTCCATTGCAAAGAAGTGGCAACTCTATTTTTTTTTTTGAGGGTTGATAATGGAATAGTGCACCAGCCTGCGCTAACGGTTTACGCTGGCGGGGCACCAGTTGAGGATGATAAGATGAGCATGAGGTTAGGTCAGTTAGCCCATCGTGCAAATTCACCAGGAATTTAACACAATGGTTTCCAGGGGGAACTGTGTGGAGGTCGACCTGACATGGTACATTGCTAGCAATGGGGTTATCAATCCACATTACTGACAATCCTTCCCCCTGTGGCAACTCTATTGACTGGTACATTTTTTTAAAAACTATTTAATTATATATGTATTCTATTACATTTACTAAATTGTTCTCTAATAAGGGTTAATAAATTCGTGCAAGTAAAACCACAGTCTTACATAATTTTTAAATGTTTTAAAATTGTTGATAATATAATTATCCTATCACATAGGTAGGCATATTTTCTTCCTATCACTACCATATTATATTAAAGATGTTATCTAATCTTATAGATATATCTAAGAACATATATGCTGCTATTGTAGAGAGATATTACAATATCGTGTATGTGATCATATCTAGATCATTTATCAATTTATAAAGCTAATATCATTAATATGTTCTAATTTTATTTGTAGAAAAACTTAAAATATTATTGTTAGTTAGGTTTATTTTGTAACTAATGATTCATCCTGGCTTCGCCTGAAATAATATGTAGCCTATAGCACTCTGAAATAATATTACCTGTGTATTGCAATATATTGGGAACTGTTTTTATAAATACAATTATAATTAAAACATGAAAAAACAAACCAAAAGGCATCCCTATTCTTGTTGACTGAATCTGTATTTCAATGGGTTTTTTAATAAAAGAATTACAATATAAGAGTTTATGTGAGTGAAAGAGTGTTTTTTATTATAAATTGACAAATTTACACATATTCTTTTTTATAACGTATCTCACCTCTCCTTGGTCTCTTTTCTTATCTTTATTCTCTCAAAGGTTGTCTGGAAGAGATTGCTCAGCGATAAGACAGCTGCTGTTTATATTAGTTAATGTAAATTTATTATTTTAATGATTTTTCTATTTCTATATCTGTCTATAAAGAGTATAAATAAGTAAATATGAATAAATTATTTCATTGAAAAGACACTGGTGATAATTTTGAACTATAAATAAATATATTCAAAGGAAAATGTTATACAGTAAATTAATTTATAATATACTAGCTATTCCCCGCGACTACGTCAGCGTGGAATTTAACTTTCATTTTCTAAAATAAAAGTAGCCGTTACTAAGTTACTTCTTATTACATCAGCTACTTTTTCAGCTCATTATCTAGCACTATTCGAATAGTGGGTCTATTGGAAATGGTAGGTAATTAGCTGAATATAATAATAATAACCTCCGGACAATTCACACAGCGCCATCTAGTCCCAAGTTAAGCTATCTAAAGCTTGTGTTATGGGTACTAGATAACTGATACAAGTACATAGATATTTTTTTTTCGTAAACACATACATATTATACATAGAAAACACCCAGACCGATACAAACAATCATACTCATGAATACAAATGTTTGTGCCGTGCGAGGAATCGAACCCACGACCATCGGACGTAAAGCGGTGTGCTAGACCGCTAGACCACCGAGGTCGTCAAATATATTTTGATTTGATTTGATTTGATTTGATTATATATCTTTTTCTTACATTATCCTTATCCTTAATAATATTATAAATGCGAAACTCTGTCTGTCTGACTCGCTTTTGCGCCAAAACTACTGAATTTATTTTAAATGAAATTTTGTACACAGAGAGTCCAGATCCTGAGAAAGGACAGTTTGCATGGAAATATTGCCATTTTCAAAGCTAGGTTGAAACTTATTTTTTAAGCTGTTGATTATTATAAATAAATATTACCCTAAATAAAATAGGGGATGAAAGCTAGAACAATGAAATATATTTCTTTCGCCTTTTTGAGTTAGATTATGGAATATTTTTTCTTCACATCTCATTCGGTCAAGGCCACTATAACATGCGGAAGAATCGCGGGCACAGCTAGTAACATAATAAACGTCTATGCGGTGCGTAGTTTATCTGTATCTATGGTTTAGTTATTTATCTAAGTGACAAATCAAATAGGGTAATAATACATCAGTATCAATCAATAGTGCATTTGTAGCGCAATTGATGATAACAGAGTTGGTATTAGTGTTATTGTAATCAGAATGTAATCAATCAACACATATTGTTGACATGTTGGTATGCGTCTCACATACTATAACGCCGCCTTATTGTAACGATACATGTGTCCTTTGTTATACAACGATACATGTGTGTTTGTGATTTTACTGTATGTTGCAAATAAAGTATATTCTATCTATCAAGTCGAGCGCGTAAGATTTCGTTCATTAAAAATTATACCTACTAATTTGATGCCCCAAAGGCAATTCAAAATACCACTAGCGCCATCTGTGTTGGCGTATTGTTAACACTTTCTACTTTGAATTACCTGCCGGTGTCGGTGATGTGATTGGTTCCCGCCTCTTCTTCAAAATATGGCGAATTAACTTGCACTCAAGAGAGCAGACTATGACGCGTATTTGCATTGTAAGTCTATATTCCTTCGTGATATACTGAAAATATACCCTAAAAAGCATCTGTCTTGGCGTATTGTTAACACTTTCTGCTTTGAATTACCTACGGGAATAGTTCAATGCGTGAACTAATGAACCGCTACTGTCGGCGCTGTGATTGGTTCCCGCCTCTTCTTCAAAATATGGCGAATTAACTTGCACGCAAGAAAAGAGACTCTGACACATATTTGTATTGTAAATTAATATTCCTTCATGATATACTGAAATTATGCCCTAAGAAGCCGTATTTAGCCTACTGTTCACCTTATTGTCGGTCAGGATAATTGAAGATATATAATTAAATGCTTCATAGATAGATAAATTCTTTACTCGCGTATATATTTTTTTTTAATAATGATAATGGGAAGGTGTTCCCGCCTGTGCTAACGGTTTACGCTGTCGGGGCACCAGTGGAGGATGATATGATGAATATGAAGTCAGATCAGTTAGCCCATCGTGACAAATTCACCGGGAATGTATCACGATGGATTCCAGGGGGAACCGCGTGGAGGTCAACCTGACTTGGTATATTGCTAGCAATGGGGTCAACATTGGATAGTTAGTAATGTGGGCTACATTACTAACTATCCTCTTCCACCGATATATTTATATTATGTATATACAGTTAATGTCTGTATGTTTATAATTTTCTATATTTGGTGCAATAGAGTATAAATATTTTTCGTCAGTTTAAAAAGGTTAGTGGTAGTTTTTAATATAATTATTTTTTTCTTTCTTACAGGAGAACGAGCCAACTATGTAAATATACCACATGTTATAGCCATGGTGGGCCTCCCGGCGAGAGGAAAGACCTACATCTCAAAGAAGTTGTCTCGATATCTCAACTGGATAGGAATCAATACTAGAGGTATGTGAATGAGTTATACACGTCAATAATAATAATAACCCCATCAAAGAGAGATTTTTTCTAAAAGAAAGGTAGCCTAAGTTATTACATCAGCTACCTGCCAACAAAAGTCCCGCCAAAATCAGTACAGCCATTTCAGAGATTAGCGGGAACAAACAGACAGACAGACAAAAATTGTAATAAAATATATTTTGGTATATGTACCGTATTTATATTCATATGCATGTAGTAAAAAACGGTTATTTCAATATTACAAACAGACATAAATTTTTTTTATATGTATAGATATAGATATATGTGAGTGCGTCATTCATTAATTAACATATTGTCCCAATATATATTGAGATGATAACATTAGGTTAATTTTATAAAAATACATTATATTTGTTTATATTATATACCAACAAGAACAATTAACGATAAAGCATTTAATTACCATCCATGTTTTTGTTTATTCAGATAAAACTGTGGTAAGAGGGATTTTTTTTTTTGTTTAAACATTAGTTATATTTAAACCTTATTTAGAAATAGAAATTACGTTTATACAAATAAACTTAAACTTTGATTGTTTTATGGCGATAATTATAATGTAATTCGATTTCCACACTATAGCATTTGTGTTCATGATATTGTATTGTTTATTCTACACTTCTCGCAAAACAGAAAATTTTTCCAATGGGTGATAATGAAAATAAAAAAATAATCTTAAACCTTGAATATTCTAGTTTTCAGATTTCTTAGGTAAATAATTAATTATTTACTTAATTTTTACCCAAAAATCAATAGTTTTATTTTCTGTACGACCATTTTTCATTTAAATAGAGCCTGTTAAAAAACACCCATAAATTTGGAAAAAAAATCTGCTCCCTTAATTTTTGCGAGTATATTTGTTTTCTATTAGATGTTTAATACATGCTCTAGTTAGTTTGATACTAGATGGCGCTGTATTAAAAATACTCTGTTATTATTATTATATTTTTGATACATGACACCAGACGCTTAATATAAAACTAAAAATATTGCAAATTTAGGAAAACTGCTAATTATTTTTAACGTTAAAGTAGAGTTTTTAATTAATACAGTATGTAAATATTTTTAAGAGCACACTTTGTGTTATCGCTATAGATTTTGAGGTCGTCATGAGTGCTCACTCTTTGTAAGCTGTGTTAACGTTGTTGGGTGAAATTAGGTAGGTAAATAGTGAAATTTCAAAACAGAGGAATGACATCTTAGGCCTCCGGAATGACAGCGCATGAGCTGGTATCATGGCTTACCATCAGTTGAGCTGTCACATCAATTAGCTGTATAGCTTTTTTTTATACCACGTAGGTGGTAAACAAGCATAAGGCCTATCTGATGGTAAACGATTACCGCAGCCTATGGACGCCAGAAACACCAGGTTTTCTTTTTTATTTCAATTACATAAAAAAGTAAAAGCTTACTTTTATATCATACTAGCCACCGGCCCCGGCTTCGCACGGGTGTGCATGTATTATACATTTAAACTTTCCTTTTCCAATCACTATTTTTGAAAACTGCATTAAAATCCATTGCGGAGTTTAAAAGATATAAGGTAACAGACGATTTTATACGATTAAAGTAATAAATAGATGTGTAAACAATATACTTATTGCTTTTTTATATAATAGAAATAATAAATGTCTCAAATTCAAAATATCTTTATTCATGTAGGTCTATTACAGACTCTTATGATATATCAAATCTACCGTCCGATCTGAATGATTTCGAGATGAGAAGAACTGACAAGAAACTCAGCTCGTATTTTTTTTTATTGTTGTACATATTTACAATAATACTATTTCATTTAAATTCAAATTTGGGAGAATAGACCACCAGCATATGCTATATAAAATTCTAATCAGTGTTCGCAACCTGAACAGACCAGTCCCTACAAGCAGCACCCGTTCACGAGTATGACGGATGAGCCAGCCATCATTGCACTCAACCATATTAGAGGGAGAAGATCTTTAAAGATACATCAAATAAATATGTTATAACGTCACATATAAATGTGTGCAAGTACACAAGTAACCGCAGTGACCACCCCGACAGTGATCTTGTTTGTTTGTTAATTGACAAGTAATGTGAGAATTGTGGTAATTATATGATAAATAGACGACAAAATGACTATTTTTATACACCCTTAAGTGTTAAACTAATGGAAAATAATAATGCAACATATTAAACATAGCGTTTTTCACATAACAAGCTGTCTGTGTACGTGGTAAACACTATTTGTGAATCTATTATTGTTAGGGAAAATACTTTATGTGGAAGCGTCTGTCTCGTACCTGTATGGTTCTGCGGATTTCTTGGGCTTCAGGGTCTCGAAGATATTTTCGCTAGCTTTCCAGTTTCACAGTAGGCTTAACTCAGTTTTAATTTATTTTAATATACAAAAAATGCGCGCGCGTCATGGCCGCCGTACGGTCAGTTCTGTCATAGGTAAGGGGGGGGGAAGGAAAAGCGCGGGAACAGAAACTAACGGACTCTAATATAATAATCTGTGCTTACGATGGTACAGGGTAGATTTTGAACAATTATAATATTAATAATGACCCTGAATAATCCGCACAGCGTCCATCTGGTTCCTTGTTAAGTAGAGATTACTTTTTTACACACGTGGAGGTCGACCTAACATGGTACATTGCTAGCAATGGGAGTTACCAGTTCCCATTGCTAGTAATCACCTTCTCTCCCTGTTAGCAATGTAGCAAGTCAGGTTAACTTCCACACGGTTTCTGTAAACCATCATGATAAATTCCTGGAGAATTTGTCACTATGGGCTAACTGATTAGATGTCATACACAGGTGCCACGCCAGTGTAAACCGATAGCGCAGGTGGATACAATCATCATCATCATCAGCCCACTGCAGTCCACTGCTGGACATAGGCCTCTCCCAAGGCACGCCAATGGGCACGATCTTCAGCCCTTCTCTTCCAGTTTTTACCCGCAACCCTACGTATGTAGTCGCTCAACCTGGCTGCGGGGCGGTCCTACACTACATATCTTATATATAAAATTCTCGTGTCACAGTTTTCGTTCCCATACTCCTCCGAAACGGCTTGACCGATTCTCATGAAATTTTCTGAGCGTATTGAGTAGGTCTGAGAATCGGCCAACATCTATTTTTCATCCCCCTAAATGTTAGGGGTAGTCCACCCCTAAGTTTTTTTTTATTTTAAGACAAAACAACGTTTGCCGGGACAGCTAGTAATATATAATAAATAGGATACAATGTAATCATCAAATTAAAAAATAGGGTCATTGTAGTCCACATTACTATCAATATGTCTGTTCTATCCTGATGAAGCATGTTGTTTGTTGCCAGTGTTCAACTTGGGCGAGTACAGGCGGCATGCGACGACTGCCTACACGAGTCATGAGTTCTTCCGCGCGGACAACAAGAAGGCAATGGCGATACGGCAGCAGTGCGCCCTCGACGCGCTGCACGACGTGTGCGAGTGGCTTGTCAAGGGTGGGGAAGTAGCCGTGAGTATAACATAACACAGCTTCGATTCTCCGTCCAATTCAAACGGGGATCGAAATTCGATCGAACGACACCCTGAGCCGAGGTTCGAACTCCTAGCGGTGCCCTCAGACTAAAGTCGTATGCGTCAGGCGGGAGTTGGCCATCAGCCGCTCCGTGATTCCTTCCGCGGGTTTGCAGTGTCATCTGTACTCGCCTCCTATCGCCTGGTGAAGACCAGCTGCGGCCAACAACATTAGAGTAGTTCGAAAAAAAAAATTCACACAGCGCCATCTAGACCCAAATTAAGCTAGCTAAAGCTTGTGTAATCGGTAGTAGATAACTGATACATGATAGTACATAGTTTTTTTTTTCGTAAAGACATATTATATATAGAAAACACCCAGTCCGATACAAACAATTATAATCATAAATATTGCGAGGAATCGAACCGGCGACCATCGGATGTAAGGCGGTGTGCTAAACCACTAGACCACCGCGGCCGTCAATATATTTATATATTATATCATTATTTGTAATTGCTTTCACACATTAAAGAGATCGAAATGTATATAGGAGCCAACATAATATTAGCGCTGCATATTTATTTGTAGCTTTATTACCTTTCATCTTTGCGACACATAACTCTCTTAACCACTCTCTCCCTCCCTCTTTATCTCTGTCTCTCCCCTCCCCCCCCCCTCCCCCCCTTCTCTCTCTTTACAACATTAATATGGAAAGATTTTATTTCTTTGCAGGTGTTCGACGCGACGAACTCGACGTTGGACCGGCGGCGGATGATCCGCGACATCGTGGTGCACAAGATGGGCTTCAAATTGTTCTTTGTAGAGTCCATATGTGATGACCCCACCATCATTGAACAAAATATCATGGTTAGTCTGTTTATAATGTCTTAATAATGATGAATGTTTTCAGTTTGATAAATGTATACTAGAATAATATAATAGAAATAATAATAAACTAGGATAAAACACAGCGGCATATAGAAACAACAACTGATAGAAATAAGTAAAAATGAAGATGATAGAAGAAGAAATGCCTACTGTATCTAGATAGGCATAACCTCAAAATAATGATAGGGACGATAATAATAATAATAATAATAAATAAATTTTATTTCATCTCCACAAATTACATAATTTCAGTTTTATTATATAAATGCTAACAAATAAAAATCACAAATATAATTTGTGGGAAATCTGGAGCCCAAACTAAGCCATAGCCTGTACCTTAGACACCAGGTCTCCCCTTCATATAAATTAGTTATACATCTAGTTTTAAACGTGGAGTGCATTGTGTTGCATGTGTGTGTGTGCGTGTGTGTGTATGTGTGTGAGTGAGTGAGTGATCTATGTAAAATTTATATATAAACTTATACTGTTGGAAACTATTTTATATACCTTTTTTATTGTCTATATTTTTTATAATATTATATTGTTTTTATATGACATAAGTCAATTTAATACAAAAATATTCAACAACTACAACGGTGCCGTTTTACTTTTTGCTCGTCATCTTGGTCTCCATCCTTCACATATACAATAACGGGCCATTGTTTCTTAAACAAACACCTGTACACAATAGGCGCTACAGACAGTCCCTTTTGTCGGGGCTGGTTTGGTTGGTTTGGTGACGTAATCATGGAGTGCTAGCAGTGGCCACACAACGAAAAAAAATCCTCGGAACGGTGAGGTCGCTCCGTGAAGCCTGTGAAGACACCAGGAGACTTCTGCGTTTTTGGGAGGAGCTTGGCTGGCTACTTTAGTAGTCTAGCTCTACACAACGGCCCAAATGAGAGCCTAATTGCGGAGACTGGGAGTCCAATTTACATTTACATTTAGAAAGTAAAAATAAGCTGCGGATATTACGAACACTCTTATATAGACAATAAATGAACACTGATAATTTTGCATGCCAGATTCTGGTGAACAGTGTGTTTCATAAATTATAATTTTTAAAATTCTGTAAACCATTTTATTTTATAAATAAATATATTTTATTTATTTATTTAATATAGTTTTGCTATAATTACAGGAAGTGAAAGTAAGCAGTCCAGACTACACGCATATACAAAATACGGACGTGTTAAATGATTTCCTACTAAGAATAGAGCATTACAAGGAGAAGTACGAACCGTTGGACGAGAGGCTCGAGTCGGAGTATAGTTTTATGAAGATATACGACACCGGGGAGAAGGTGGTGGTGCACAAACATGAAGGCCACATACAGAGCAGGATCGTGTACTACCTGATGAATATACATATTGTCCCCAGGACTATTTACTTGACGAGGGTGAGTGTTAAATTTATTATCAAACTAACTGTGCCCGCGGTTTCACACATGAAATTTACAGCCTATGTGTTATTCTGATGTATAAGCTATATCGCTGTAAAGTTTCATCAAAATCCGTATAGTAGTTTTTGTGTGAAAGTGTAACCAAACATCCATCCATACAAACTATCGTATTTATAATAATAATAAGATTCTATTATTATATATGTACTAGCTGTCCCGGCAAACGTTGTTTTACCTTAAAATAAAAAAAAAATTAGGGGTGGACTATGAATATATATATGGATGAAAAATAGATGTTGGATTCTCAATACGCTCACAAAATTTCATGAGAATCGGTCAAGCCGTTTCGGAGTATGGGAACGAAAACTGTGACACGAGAATTTTATATATAAGATGTTAGCCCGTAAGGTATAATATTAATTCATATGTATGTTAAGTCTATAAGGTATTTATAATATGGCTATAGTAGCCTGAAATAAATAATAAAAAAAATATGTATTTTTAATATTGGCAGCACGGTGAGAGCCTTCACAATATGGTGGGACGCATCGGTGGTGACAGTGAGCTGTCACCGCGCGGGCGACAGTACGCCAACGCACTCAGCTCCTACATAGAACACCAGCAGATCCCCGGCCTCAGGGTGTGGACCTCATGGATGAAGAGGGCCATACAGACGGTGAAGGATGTGAAGGCACCACAGGAGAGGTGGAAAGCGTTGAACGAAATTGATGCGGTGAGTTTCTACCTATGGATAATGTAAAATACAAGCAACTATTCAAATGAAAAAAAAAAATATATTCATATGGAATATTTCGGTCTCTTATATATATTTGAATCTAGAGCTAAAACGGCATCAAAAAAACTGGGCGTCCTCTCAAGGGTTGAAATTTACAGCCTGGACAGCTTTGTGTTACCAAGCACAGGTCCGATCTTGCATGTATTGTTAAGCTATGGATCGCTGTACCAACTTGACGCTCTAGACTCAATCAAAAGCAAGGAGACTTATCGGGGACGTTTTTGTGTGCTTCAAAGTCTTAATCACCGACATAAAGTCTTGTCTATCGGTGTTCTAAACTATCGTATTGCTCAATAATAATAACCTCATTCCTACCGTTATTATATATGTACAACAAGACGTAGAAACGTTGTTTTACCCATAAAATAAAAAAAAAATTCCCGCTGCTCAAACCAACCGTTTTGCATCATCTTTCCTTATGCGAGCAGCTAAAAAATAGACTCTCTACCAGCGTCTATTTTTCCTGCCTCTTACAACCTTGGGTCTTTTAAGTCAACAGTGAATAGGTATTATTTGAGCTTCGTGTAACAAGACCACATCATCACTCAACATCAGGTGAGATTGCAGTCAAACGCGCTCAAATTATGATATAAAAAATATATATATATATACAAAGTTATATGGGGCCGTTCAAGTATTACATAAGCACTATAGTCTTTGACTTTGGGGATTTTTGATGACGGAGGTTAGGGGAGTACGTCATCGAGATAATGATTAAGTGTTTTTGACTGTACTTTGTCTTGGTTTATAATATGGCTATAGTAGCTTGACAATAAATAATGAAAAAAAAATTATGTATTTTTCATATTCGATTACGCAGACTCCTGCTATTTAGATCTCACTGAAGAGCAACTAAATAAACTTGGCGACTTCAAAATTTATGTATACGTTTCATATTTGGTCTGCAAATATGATCATATTTCCCATTATCGTACTCAACTCAAGTGGCTCCCTATCCGTCTTCGTCGCAACTTACACATCCTTTCACTCCTTTACAGCATTCTCTTTAATCCCCACACTCTGATTATCTAAAAGACAGTTTCACATTTCTCATGGATGAACAGTAGCTATCCGTCATACGTAATGTTAACAACCTCCTTCTCAAATATCCCTCTCATTCCACTTCCTTCTATTCTAAATCCTTTTCTGTCCAGGCTGTCAGGTTATGGAAACTCCCCCCTTGCATTCGGAGCATTCAGTCATTTGCTAGTTTCAAAGTCTCTGTGGATAACTTTCTTTCCCTTTAAGTTCATATTGTCCTCTTTCTCATAGTTCCCTTCATATTCTCTGAAGATATGTGCATTATTAAAATGTGTAAATGTTTATATTTTATTATATATATTAATAGATATATTTATGTACAAATGTATATTTATGTTCATTATATATATATATCTTATCTTAATGTTACTTTCTCTACTGGTAGTCTGGAAGAGATTGCTTAGCGATAAGACCGCCTTTTGTATCAGTTTATGTATTATATCATTTTGTGTGTTTTCTTTGTCTGGTGCAATAAAGAGTTTAAATAAATAAATAAATAAAATTAAGTCATCGGTAGTTATTTACTTTTTTACACCTATGACACACAATGACAATGACAATCACATTGTCTTTGCTAAAAAAACAATACATTAATTGAAAAATGTTTACGTAAACTTGGGGGTGGGGGTAAGAGCTATGCTTACTTTTGCTGACAAGGGGGATGGGGGGGGAGGGTAATTAATTGTAATAAATTTGATTACGTAATTCTTGAACGGCCCCTATATATATATATCATCATCATCATCATCATCGCAGCCCGGAAGACGTCCACTGCTGGACATAGGCATATATATATATGTTATTAATTACCAATATAGCCTGCACTCAGCATATACTGTGTCAGCTTACTGTCACAGCGCTTTATAATTCCACTTTTTCATTCCAGGGTATATGTGAAGAGATGACATATGCTGAAATACAACAGAAATACCCCTCAGACTTCAACGCTCGCGACGCTAACAAGTTTGCATACAGATACCCACGCGGTGAAAGCTACGAGGACCTGGTGGCGAGGCTGGAACCCGTCATCATGGAGCTGGAACGCCAGGGTAACGTCCTGGTGGTGTCACACCAGGCTGTGATGAGATGCTTACTAGCATACTTCCTTGATAAGTCTGCCGGTGAGACATTTATTTTCAGTTTAGTTTTGTTTGTTTATTATTTATCAAACAAAATTGGTTACATACCAGATATTAATGCCTGATGGCATTCTCTACCAGTCATCAGTCGCGCTGATAAGACATAATAATATCAAAAACAAAAACAATAGAAATATACAGGAAAATAATATATATGTACATATTCAAATCTATCAATATACTAATATACGCACGCGGGTGCACCGTTCCATTATAATCCATTAAAGAATACCTCCACACGAAAATACACTTTAAGTATTAAAATCTTTAGTCCTATTTTTCCTAATTAAAGTATTTACTTCAAGCATCTGGGATACTCAAGTCACGGCCGATAATAAACTGACGCAACCGAGAATCGATCCCGGGGCTGAAACAGAAAGCAACCCCCACCATTGCGCCAAGGACGTCATCAAATAATGCACACTCGGGAACGCGTTATTAGTCATTCTCGAGTATGACGTGATGAAGAATAGCTCACTCCGTAATCTTCTCAAACAAGAATCGATACTGTGAGCTGAATTACGAAATCAATACTCCCACCATTGCGCCAAGGAGGCCATCAAATAACGCACACTGTCATACTCGGGAACGCGACACTAGTCGTTTCCGAGTATGACGTGTAGGTTGTCCCGCAGAGGAGCTGCCGTACCTGCACGTGCCGCTGCACTCGGTGATCAAACTGACCCCGGTGGCGTACGGGTGCCGCGAGGAACACATCGCACTGTCGGTATCCGCGGTCGACACCCACCGCCCTAAACCCTCTGTAAGTACACCGTTATGATTATACTAGCTTATACCCGCGACTTCGTCCTCGTGGAATTACGTTTTTTTTAATTTAAATAATAAAATCTTACTATAATCTTTATTTGTCTCAAATAATAAATTATTACAATTGCTGCTTATAATGAAACTAGACCCGACCACGCGTTGCTGTGGCTAAGGTTATTGCGACTATAAATTAAGATGTAAGCTATCCTATCTTTCAAGTTGCATCAAATTGCACACAATGTGCAAATCAAATTTGCATAGGAGTCCATCGCGGACAAACTACGTGACATGTAATCTTATAAAGATTTAGAAGTAATAATCGAGATAAAACGGTTTATAACTCAGAGGGGGCAGTGAGTCCACCCTTTCTACTATTCTGTCATAACCTTTATTAGTAATAATAATAATAATAATCACCGAAATCATTCCAATCGTTATATCGGTGAACGGTCTTATCCCAACCAGTCTGGAGCAACCTCTCAGACGGTTGGGATTCCGAGGCGGCTCACTCCCGGGAAAGATGCAGAAAGCGGTGCTGTTAGATTCTGCCCGCATTGTACGCCGGTTTCTCTCCCTGGGGCCCTGAACCCCGGCCGACTGTGCTTCTGTCGGGAGAAGTTGCCATCTCCTCTCCTTAAGAGGGGAGATGAGATATTTTTGGAAGTTAGGAATAATAATAATCTCAAGACAATTCACACAGCACCATCTAGACCCAAGTTAAGCTAGCTAAAGCTTGTGTTATGGGTACTGGACAACTGATACAAATACATAGATTTTTTTTTTCGTAATTACATACATATTATACGTAGAAAACACCCAGATCGACACAAACAATCATACTCATGAATACAAATGTTTGTGCCGTGCAAGGAATCGAACCCGAGACCATCGGACGTAAAGCGATGTGCTAACCACTAGACCACCGAGGTCGTTAGTAAATTAATACAATAAAGAAATCAACGACAGCAATAGCATTAAAGTTCAAAACTGTCCTCTACTAACAAAGTAAACATAAAAATTTTACAAAAACATAAAAAAAAATACAATCTATTAATTATGTATTAAACATAAAAAAAAAGATTACAACGCTACGAAACTAAGCATTGTTCTTGCGGCAACCAAAAACAAATGTTTGTAAAAATAAAGTTTTTTTTTTTCTACTGGTCATTCGGAAAGCAGACTCATTATAAGAAAGGGAATTCTGAAACGGTACGAGCATATATGTACTATATATTAAAAATAGTCTTTGTATACATGGCGTAAGGTTCTTATTTACGTTTAACTGCAGTTTTCCATTTTAAATGTCAAATTTAAAATTCGTCAGATAACGGGTGTCATGACGTCACTTCTATCTATCTATGTAGTTAACATTGTGTCAATGTCAAGAATTTATAGTCTTACTTTGTGGTGTCATATTTGTCAGAACTTTAGATGTACTTAATACTTTTGTTGACAACATCTGTCATGGTCATTATCATCTGGTTATAGCAGGAAATATGAATAATAAGATAATATTTTTAAAAAGGTGTTATATATGAATGTGGATGGTTATAAGGGCAGAGTAAGGCCGAAAAAGAGATGGATGGACTGTGTGAGAGATGATATGGTAAGAAAGGAAGTAAATAACTGCGAACAGGGATGAATTGAAGCGAAAAACATATTACGCCGACCCTAAATAAATGGGATAAGGAAGAAGCAGATGATGATAGCAGGAAATATGAAGGCACTACTGTTGCAGCCTCTTTGACAGGAGTGCTTGCTGGCCGCTTATAAGACATGACTACGACAGACAGAATAATTGACAAGAGACGAATACGACAGACAAATACGGACGACAGTATAGAAATTGGACTAATTATATTTTACATTATAAAACAAGCTCTTTTCATTAACAACAACATTTCATTTAACGGTCGGCCATTTTCAAGCAGACCGTTCAACTACCGAAGACAATGGCTGTATAGACTCTTTCTCTGAAACGGGAAAAACAAAAAAAAAGATATAACGTGATAGTGAAATATTCATTGCAGGGCACCGGCGAAGACACCACCACACCGCACCACCACGTGCGTACAAAATTGCGGATAAAATGAAGCGTCCATTACACTATATGTTTTACTGTAAATTTTGATCACATTTTTACATCTGTCCCGAATTATAAATCCTTGATAGTTAACAATAAAATGTAGTGATATAAAATTAAAAAATACCATCCGTCGATCGCCTGCAGATATGAACATAGAAATTGTTTTGTACAGTACAGATAATATCGCTTAATAATAATAAACTATATTAATTTAAAATATTGTAATTTTAGAAAACTCGACTTTAAAGTTTTTCGACTCGACTTTATTGTAGAAATTCCAAATTGTATCTTTTTAGTTACTGCAGTTTTTTACTGAGTGTGCTATATACATAAACTAGGCTACAGTCGCAACTTGGAAGAGGGCGACTCATTATTACCACACAAACTGTGGGTCAAATCCGCCGCATACGATATTGCACATTAAACCATCTAAATATATATAACTCAAAGGTGACTGACGTAGTGATCTATCAACGCACAGCCTAAACCACTGGACCGATCGGGCTGAAATTTGGCATTCAGATAGATGTTATGACGTAGGCATCCGCTAAGAAAGGATTTTGATTAATTCTATCCCCAAGCGGATTAAATAGGGGATGATATTTTGTATGAAACTTTGTCAATTTTAAACCGATCGGGCTGAGCATGCATAAAGCTACTATGACGTAGGCATCCCCTAAGAAACGATTTTGATAAATTTCACCCCTAAGGAGATAAATTAACGCGAGCGAACCCGTAGGCAAAAGCTAGTATAACATAAAGTGAAACCCTACTCCATCAATAAGAAATCCCACTATTAGGATATTACTACTACATTTTAGGATAAGCAGTAACAGAACGTAGACTGTAGTTATTTTTTTAATGCAGGTTATATAAAATTAAAATTTTATTTTCGTCAACAAAAATGTCGCAGATGAAAATTGAATGTCCAATATTGCATTAAGAATACATTAGTCTATTTCCAGCTAAATTGTCTATCAATCACAGCTAAATCTGGAATATGAAAAATCAAAGCATATCGTGTAATAGACGCTTTAGACCATAGACAAATTAAATTAGTTTTAAAGCATGATCCGGATTGTAGGCACAGGAAACTATCGAAGCACTTAATTATATAAAATAATCGGTGTGAGGTGGTGTGCATTTTAGTATCTATTTCTTTTCTTCCTCTAATATTATTTTCGGGATATTGACAACTAAGTAAGCTTTCTTGGCGTCGAAACAGTAAATCAATTATTTTTCTATCCTGTATAAACTAGAGTTAGACGTATCTACCAAGTAACATGTGTGGATACCTCTTTCCTTGCTGTAGTATTTCTTTTACTTTGCAGCCCTGTAGTACCGTAATTTGTCTTTTTTCTGTATAACACAAATAAAAGTATATTCTATCTATCTATAGATAATAATGTTATTTCTTAGTTAAAAAACAAGACAATTATAAATACTAAGTTAGTAGTTATCTGCCTATTAATGCTTTAATTTAGTTACTCGGTTTTTGTCGCTTTTGGAGTCGATGCCTGGGCAAAGGGATTCGTCCCGAAGACCCTAACCTCTAGCCTGGAGACCCCTCCAGGCTAGTGATTAGTCTTCGGTCAGACCTAAGTTTTTTCTATTCATTCGAATAGAGTAGAATTTAGATATTGAATTTAAATGACCAGTGTCAATTATAGATTAGGCATTATTTATATTGTTAACTGGGTCTTCAAACGAATTATTTTATAGTAAATAAAGGATACCTGATCTTTTGTTCTCAGATAACAATATAAATAACTAGCTGTGCCTGCTGTTACAGCCGCGTTGCTACTCGTTAAATTTCAATAAACAATAAAGCCTATCTGTTATTCTGATGCTTAAGCTATTACTGTTAAGTTTCATGAAAATCCGTTCAGTAGTTTTTGTGTGAATGAGTAACATACATAATCACAAACTTTATATAATTATTAAAATGTATATTAACCGTCTTAGTGTCATGCATTTTTTCGCAATATATGTGAAAAATGCCAAGAATAATTACCCTCTCTTTTTTTTTTAATTTTGGAGTAAGAGAAAATAATGTGTAACTTTCGTAAAAATGTTTCAATTTTCAAAATAGAGGCCGAAACTCAAAAACACTGACGCGTGAGTCACTACCACGCATCTGGCACTTTTAGATATAAGCGCAGGCACGCGGTTGCACGCCTTGGCGCTAAGACGGTTAAACACGAAAGTTTATAACTAAATATATAATATATAACCTCGGATATATAAGACGACCTCGGTGGTCTAGCGGTCTAGCACACCGCTTTACGTCCGATGATCGCGGGTTCGATTCCTCGCACGGCACAAACATTTGTATTCCTGAGTATGATTGTTTGTATCGGTCTGGGTATTTTCTATGTATAATATGTATGTATTTACGAAAAAAAAAATTATCTATGTATTTGTATCAGTTGTCTAGGACCCATAACTCAAGCTTTAGCTAGCTTAACTTGGGTCTAGATGGCGCTGTGTGAATTGTCCTGAGATTATTATTATTATTATTATTATTATAACCATAGATGAGACAATTCTATGGAAATGTTTAACATTATATTGTATCCACAGGTGATACCGGCCCCGCCAATAAAACCGCTCACCTATCCCGTTCTAAACGGCACCAATGGCGAGCGAACCGACGACAACCAATCACACTAACCGGCCATAGACAAGGCCTATTCTACCAATGGCTACCTTGACGGAACGAGAAGTAAAAAAAAAAGTGTTGTCTGTGACTACGAGTTCTATATTTGAGACTGATTATAAATTGAATGTTTTAAATTGTAATTTCGTGCGGTTGTAAGATGTAAGTGTCGTGATGTACATCACTTGATTCAGAGATGGTGTGGAGACACCGCTTTTGGTACATTTGTATATATATTATTATATATATACATAGCCTGTTTACAACTATAATATGTTATATGTATGATTCCTATTACAATAAATGATAATATTTATAAACTATTTATTAATTACTAATAATAGTTGACCGTTAAACGTTTGGTTAACATTTTATTTAGAAGATTATTTTTATTATTGGTTGTTGATATGTGTAATTTATATTTATTTAATATAATAATATGATGACATAATTGTAATATATCATTACATAGTATAAAACAAAGTCGATGTCGCTGTCTGTCCGTCCCTATGTAGGTATGATTAAATCTTTAAAACTACGCAACGGATTTTGAAGTGATTTTTTTAATAGAGTGATTCAAGAGGAAGTTTTATATATATAATACATGGACCCGTGCGAAGCCGGGGCGAGTAGCTAGTTTTATGTATAAAAATCACAGTATAAAATGTTAATTAATTAAATCTAAATTGTTTTACTTTGTTAATATAATTTTTTTTATTATGTCGTAATGATAATAAAATCTAAGACCAACTAAAAACTCGCAGATGATATTTGTGATAAATAAACCTTACATTCTAATAATGTGTTCAAGTAATGCTATTTCTGGACCAATACGATATTGAAACCTTCAAGAAAACAGCTTATTTCTTCTTAAAAGGCCGTCAACGAACTTGCAATTACTTACCATCAGGTGAGCCGCAAGCTCATCTGTCCCCTATACTACAAAAGAGTGTGAATTTAATGAAAGTAAATAATTAAATTACCCACCATATTCCTTATTGTTGATAATTCAGTTCCATTAATATTGCCATTGAGTTTTATGTTGGTTTGTACACTCATCTGGAATAAAATCAACTTTACTATGAACATAATGCGGTAACTTTAAGTCAATTTGAATGGTCTATATATTGTGATAACGTATTTACATATTATATATTATTATATTAGCTTTGCCCGCAGTTTACCCGCCTGAACTTTATAGCCTATGTGTTATACTGATGTATAAGCTATATAACTCTAAAGTTTTATCAATATCCATCCAGTAATTTTTGCGAGAAAGAGTAACAAATATCCATCCATCCATACTCACAAATTTTGCGTTTATAATATTAGTAAGACTGTGTTTTTAATTAAACCGTTACTGTTGTTAATTTGAAGGAATCTTTGATCACTGAACAAGGATAGCAATAAGTTTCTTTGTTCCAGATGTATGTAATTTTATAAGACGTTATAAATCGTACACCATGTATTGTTTCACAATTAATTCAGAATAATGTGCAAAAAAATCTCACTAGAAATATTAAATGCGAAATTTTAATTAACCACTAATTAAGCGAAAAAAATTGTCTTTATAAATAATTATTTTACAATTGTTAATGTGCCATAATAATAGTTTCAGTAGACCACACTGTAAAAGGCGAGAGCGGTCGCGGGATCTCAAGGACCCGACAGAGTATGGCACTAAATTAGAGAAAGAAAACCGGAGAAAGAAAGAGATGGATATATAGTTCTGAAAGATTATAGCACTAAATTTCATGCGCCAGAGAAAGAGCGAGACGAATATATATTCGTCGGAATACCGTATTGCATTTGTATGAGAGTTCATTTCAGTTTGCTTCAAAGGAGAATTGTAACAACTAAGTTCCTATATTTTTTTTTCGGAATTTCAATATCCTAACTTTTTTTTACAATAAATATATATGTGATTCGTGAATGGGATCCGTGGAAAAACTCATATTTTTATATGTTTTTGCGTACGCAACAGTCTACGCATTCATCTAGTTTATAATATTAGAAATATTTTTTTTTATAATCTCCAAACACCGTGTCTCCACACGTATATATTTTTATAACTTATCTCGTTTTATCAACTATCTCTATCACTCAATCATATTACTATACATATGTGTATAAATATTAATTTTTAAATTTTTACAAATCCCTATGTATATTATAATATAATATTGTAAAATATTAATTTAATTTTTATTTAAATATAAGTGTATTATAAATGGGCTTTTATTGTTTATTTATTTGTTCCCTCGTTACATGTACTAATCCCCAACTTGGGGATCGGCGGGATTCCACTTAAACTTCTTGCAGAAAATGGGTTTCCCGATGCACTGCTAGCGCGTCCGCGTTGAGATTCCATAGATTGGGTATTAGGTTGAAGCATTTTTGCCCATAAAGTAAAAATAAATTAAAATAGAGAGAAGCTTGTATAGCCGTTTATTATTACAGCAGCATGCGCATGCGCAGTGACAGAAGTATGTAATATAAAACCAAAAGTATATAAAGACCATCATATTTTAAATATGGATAAAAGAATATATAAAAACTGCCAGTGATTCTCATTGTAGGTCTAACAGTTAGTTGCTTAGATAAATCTAAAAGTACTATAAATTTTCAACTTTAAAAAAATTCACTCTAAATTTCTTCTAAAATATCTTAGTCTGACATGCGTTCCATACTTGAACGCGTATACAAAGCTCCATTGGCAGGCTCCTACGAAAAAAAATCTATGTATTTGTATCAATTGTCTAGCTTAACTTGGGCCTAGATGGCGCTGTATAAATTGTCCTGAGGATGTTATTTTTTTTTTGTATGTGATAATGAAATGGTGCGCATCCGCCTGCGCTAACGATTTACGCTGGTGGAGCACCAGTGGAAGATGATAAAATGAGAATGAGGTCAGGTAAGTTAGCCCATCGTGATAAATTCACCTGGAATTTATCACGATGGTTTCCAGGGGGAACCGCGTGGAGGTCAACCTGACATGGTACATTGCTAGCAATGGGGTCAAGAGTCCACATTACTAACAATCCCTTTCCCCCCTGAGGATGTTATTATAATTATTCTACCAGATATCGCTCGTCAGGGGGAGAAACACGAGCGGTGAAAATGAGTGTTGACGTCGTCGTACGTCGGCAAAGAGGCTTAAACCTACACCTACACCGAGTTACAAGCCCCAGGATCTGCTTGGAGTTTTCCTCTCTACCCCACGAGGGACCCGGCATCCGCACGGTGAATCTATAAAATACAGAAAAGTTACAATTAAATATTGTTAATAACGTCGTTATTAAGGCCCAGTCAGACTACGCTGGAAAAATCATATCCAATGACATTGAACATACTTAGTTGTCTTGAACCTTTTTACAAATTTAAAAGCATATCGGGAACTCGACAAAAATAAATATGATGTGATAAGATGCCGTGAAGAGAAAATCACGGGAAGAAAAGAAAATCACGTAATTTTCTTAATTTCATCATAGATAACATAATATTACATAAATTTATATATATAGATCTGCAATTTCACAGATTTTGATTTCTTCTTATGCCATCTAACGAGAAAATTTAACAATGTGTGTGAATTTCCCATGAATTTCAGTATAAGCTCCATCTATAGTCGAATAGCGAAACTATTTAATAACAGTTTCCAAATTCCAAGAACTGTGGAGTAATGAACTTGTGAACGTGATAACGATTTCGTAACATACAATTCGTATGATACAAACATGAATAGTATTTTACGTAATGTAGCAGTTTAGCAAAACACCTTACTTCCCATGGTCGCAGGTTCGATTCCTCGCATGAAACAAACTTACATGAGTTTGATTGGTAACATTAATCTGGGTGTTTTCTAAGTACATTATTTATGTATTTACAAAAATATCTATTAGTTATATATTACCGATATAACAATCGCGACATAGATTAGATGGCGCTGTGGTCATTGTCCAGGATTACTATTAATATTATCACTACCTGTTACAACCAAATAGCACTAATTCATTAGAATCAAAATACACAACCAATTGGTTAAGTAAATAAATATCAGTCGTAGTAATCGCCAGTAATTTCACTTTATTTTTATTTTATATAGTTATAAAATTGTTGTTATCCGCGACTTTCGCTGCATGGAAATAATTTAATTAAAAAATCTAACCCGTCATTTGTACCTGTAGAATTTGACCTTTTTTTTATTAAAATAAATATTTTTTCTAAAATGAAAATATCCTAAGTTACTCTTTAGTTACATTATATTGGCTATCTGCGAGTGAGATTGTTAAGACAAACCGGCCAGTTGGAACAGACAAAAAATTCATACATATATATACATTTTTAAAGTAACTTCCGTATATTTTAATATGCGTTTAATGAAAGTTATTAATTTTAAATTACAAAATAGATTATTATTATTTATTATAAGAGGAAAGAAAGTGAGGAATAGAATAGAAATAGTCCTTATTCGAATAAACTTAATATAAGCACTTTTGAATAGTCACACATTTTTTATTCTACCACTCATTCGGAACGCAAGAAGAATGAACAAGAAACTCGAGTGTAGCTCTTTGTGGAGGGGATGACTAAAGCACAGTTACATCAAACAAATTAATTACAACATTGGAGTAGTGTCCTATCAATATTTAAAGAGCATGATGGAAATTGGCAAGAGATCGTGGAAAGTGGCAAGAGCTCCACCGACAAGAGCGTGGCTCTTAACTTATGAATAAATATATAGATTATTGCTATTATCTAAATACATACAAAATATTTACCTACCTAATATCACATAGTACTAGTGGTACTACATAAAAGACGCTCTAAGTACTTAGGCATTTGACATGACTAATTTTACTGTAATAATATAAAAGCGAAAGTTTGTGAATATGGATGGATCAGTGTTTGTTACTCTTTCAAGCAAAAACTACTAAACGGATTTTGATGAAACTCTACAGTAATACAGCTTATACATTAGTATAACACATAGACTATAATTTAAAAATATATTATGTAAAATGGGCGAAATATATTTATAAATATCGAGTAAGTGATGCAAACGAAATTGCGAGGGCCGGCTAGCATTTTATATTGGTAACGAAACGTATTGAATAGATGTGTTAACGTATTTGTGTGTGCAGTCTGTGAATGTATTATATGTGATGAGCGTCCACTCCGGCATATAGGTAGCCCGAGCAATCAATAAAATCCGTAACTATATACCCGCCGATGTACCGCCAGCCGTGTTGTGCCCCTACATACACATCAGTCGTGCGCATAATAGCTCTCGACTGGGAGCGTTCAGTTCACTTCGCAGCTCTTCTGCGAACTAGTTCATATTGACTTTTATTCTAAATTTAAATATTTGTGTAGGTAGCAATATAAGTACAATATTAGGTATACCATATGCGATTGGCTAATCAAAAATATCTTTATATTCTAAATTTTTATTCAAATTTAGATCTGTATTTGTACAATTTGGATTACATTTAGGTACTTTCTTTTTTTAGTTCACAAATACAGCAGTTTAGACTTTATCGCGATTTCACACGTCTGTGTCCATCGCTTATTGTATGACAGAAAAATATGTATTCTTTTTTTATTAAAATTATGACCATTACTGTGAAAATAAAGAAAATTATGTTTTCTGTACAAAAATAGTTTAATCATTCTGTTTAGTTTAATAATTATAGTAATAAATTAGTTAGCAGAAAATCACTTTCTATTATTTTTTTACTATAATTGAGGATAAATATTCTAACATATTTTAGTAAAAGCTCTTTATTTATTTTGTGAAAGGAACTAAAGAGCGAATGTTCTTCCGAATCAGTTCATTCACGACTACACAAACGTAATCACACATACACATACTTGTACACACTACACTGTGCTACGTATGATGCCCTACATAGCTAGATGAAATCCAGAAAAATTATTACTGCAAACTGAATAACTGCCTACTATTTAAATGCGAATGTTTCACTTAAACCTGACGCTAAGCTTGAACATTCATTACTACAATTTTAATTATATTAATGCATTATGTACAGGTTGTGATGTTATATAAATATTAGTATTTATTACTTATATAGGACCGAAAATTACTCTATACAATTTGGACAGACTTCAGAAAGAACGTATTTGAATATTTTTTAGTTTGCAAGGATATACTTTCGATTTGATTCAAATTAGAAATTTCATCCAAAACGGTTCAGTAGTTTTATAAGTAAATTTTAGAATTAAAAATGCTAGACAATAAATAATAAAATGATGTTTGCGGAGAGAACCTTTTGGATAGTTTATTTTTATTAATTATACTGTTTACATCCCAGAAAAGTTAATATCACATGTTCTTTACAGTAAATAAGTACCAACATCCTAAGTACATGCGTAGATACTACGCACTACGCACCTAAAAACATTCCCAGCGTTCAACCTTGTTATAGATTGATAAAAAAAACATAAATATGACGCATTTTTAGGGCTACCATCACATAAATTGTGTATATTTTCGACGATCCCAAACAATGGAGTAGTGTTTTTTCCGAGATTACGTATAGATTTATTTTAATTTATAGCATGAAATTAATCTTACTTTAAAAATGTCAATGTTTAATCTGGATCCCTTCTAACTGCAATATACCTAATACTGGCAAGACTCGACGGACTGCACTCCTACGCATTGTTGTTTGTTACAGTTGAAATAAATGAAGTAATTTTTTTTATTGTAATAAGCAGAACAATCGTTTTGGTAACAATCAAATAGGTTTATATCAGTATAAAATGAAAGTCATTGATATCGATTTTAATATCGATTTTTGAACCATAGATCTGTAGAATATGCTATTTTTTAAATTGTCTTTGACACTCAGCTGTCATTGACATTTTGATTCGACAATTCGACATTTGAAACGTATCTATTTATGAAATGCATTTTGCAAAAAAAATCGACAAACAGAATCTTATATAATTATTTCCTATCAAATATTGTGTCCGAGATGTGCCTACAAACATACCATTAACAAGTTTATATATGTTACTGTGTAATGTTAAAATAAATGAAAACTTAACAAAGATGGTTTCGACCATTTCCACGCTGAATCTCAGAGAAAAATACAATAAAGGTGCGCCATATTCTGGCCTCTGTGTGATAAACAGGTGTATTTATATTATTTCGAACTAACATCAATGTTTAACTTTTACAGTTAGAAGAAACTTTTGTTTTTATTTGGATATCCAAGATCAAGGACTTGCAAGATCTATATCACGAAGAATACAAGACATGGGTATGGTGAGTGTCTACTAGAACTTATAATAAGTACTTTACCGCCAAAACACCTATTGTACGTAATATAAATACGTAGCATATTTTTGGTTATGTAGCTACGTAAATAGGTATCTATTGCTTTTCAGTATAATATGGTTATACATATGTGACATTAGCTTCCTATTGTTTTCTATAGATTGCATGTATATTACATTTGGTCGTATTATTGACATTCGTGCTAAAGAACGAATCTCAAATTTCTCGTCATATTGCGTATATCGTATTGTATATATTTTTTTACATTAAATTAATATTGAATAATATTGAAAATACTAGAATAATGTATAATGACATAAATTATTATTAACAAATACGAATTAAATTTTTCAAAAACATGTACCATAAAATGAATATGCGCGAATCGGAACGCTCCCTTTTTTACTGACCAATGACAAACGTTCCCCTTCCACATAGAAGCAGCGCCTCTTGCGACAAAAACAATAACTAACAAAATATCTCCATCTTGTGTGACAGATTTGTGTTTGTTGTTAATTTTTCAATTTTCATTTAGTTAATGTGAATAAATGACTTTAAAAAGTGTTTGTGTTATATCGTAAGTGATAAAAATTTACATTACGTATTGTGGGAAGTTCTTGTGTTGTAATACTTTGCAAATACGAGTTATATCTAACAGTGACGAAGTGCCCGTCTCAGTGACTAGTATATAGTTACTTATTTTTGTGATAAGCGCAACGCGGGGCTCTCGCGGACGGCTTTTGGGTAAGTATATATGCTCTATTTTACTTACACATATTTGCCGACACAGCGATTGTGTCAGAATTGTTTAGAAAATAGTTTTAAACAGTCATGTATTCACCCGTAAAGCCCGTAACTCTCATTTGATTTTGGGTCATCTTTTGTACGCTCGCGCTAGAGTCGCTGCCGCAGCGCGAAATGCAACGGGCCGAGGCCGCGCGACGCGCTCTCTCGTGCTATAGTGCACTACATCCATTTTAAAAGCCGTTTGAAATGTAGTTTCCTTTGGGTTACGCGTGTGTATGCTTGATTTTTGACAGTTGATATTACTTTTCTGTAAGCAAAGAGATGTGATTCTTATGTCAAGTGTCTTAGGGTTTAATTTGATGTGAGGGGGTGTGGTGTGTTATTTTTTTGCGCGGGACGATTGGCGGGAGCATACTAGGGCGCTACGCCACGGCCGGCGGCGTCCATGTACTCCGTCTCGCCGGCCGAGTTTCGAGGAAAACTGTATTATGTATCGCTATAGCGCGTTGGTACCTCACAAATGCTCGCCCGCGCTGCGTATGCCATTGTTTCCTAGTATTACGTGTGGCACTTTTTCTAAGTATACCTACCAAGTTTGTTTCACTCAGCATATTACACTGCTTGCATCACTATATTATAGTCAGCAAAGTGTAGTGATGACTTTGCAATGTATAGTAAAGTGCAGCTGCAGTGGTATATGTCAAATATGATGACATTGACATTATATTACACATACAGCATTATCATTAGTTGTGACAGATTGGCATAGTAGAGATAGCTCCTGAATTATTATTATTAAAAAAAATATATACTGAAGGATTCTTTTTTTAAAATTGCTGGAGTGAAAACTCTTTATTGTTACCCTTATAGGAATATAATTTATGACTGTACCAAATTCATATTGGTTTTTATAAGAATATATCAGAAAATTAGCTCCGATTTATAAAATAAAATTTATTTTTTCTTATAAACTGGCATATTGAATAGAATAGAATGTTTATTTATGATGCTTTGTCTTTAAATATGTTTGTAGTACATACTCAGCATGTTATGAATCCGATACAAAATCATTGTTATTACATGAGTCATAATAATTTATGAACATGTGATTATTATTAAAACTTATCTTTGTCCAAATATTATTGACACATGTAATCATTATTAATGTTGTAATTTTTACTAATTTAAGACTGAAATATTTAAGTAAACACAATTTTTAAATTAGACTTGTATCTTTTTTGCCTTTGTGTCACACTTGGCAAATACTAAAATATTATTTAAGGAATGTATTTTTTTTTAATTAATTCCAGCCTGGTGTTATATATAGATTTTTATTATATTTCATTCTGTATTTTTAGAGTTTATTAATTACAAACAACAAACAAACTTAATAATATAAATACAGAATATAATATTCATACTCCAAAACAATAATAAATTCTATTGCAACAACTGTTTATAAAGACTAACTAGACTACTAACGCCATCTAGTGGTTAGATTTGAAATCTTTATAAGAGTATTTTAAGTATGTCTTTCTTCCTTTGAACAAACATTTTAAATTTAAAATCATAATATTGAGTAATACAAACAATAAACTATCAATAGGTTTGTTGTTTTTTTAAATGTACTTTAAAGTAATCAATTCTATTTGAAAAATTTCAGTAATTTTTTTATATTGACATTCTTGGTCACTTCTAGGTATAATTATACCACTAGAGGTGTGTGAGGAGATAATATATATTTTAATATATGTTACATACCGATATACTAGTACTGCTATTGTATGCAAACATTCAAATTCAAAATATCTTTATTCATGTAGGTCTATTACAGACTTATAATATGTCAATCCACCATCAGTTCGGAATGATTTTGAACTGAGAAGATCTGACAAGTTTCAAGCTTTAAGCTTTAAAAATATTATTTCCATAAAACCTTTATCTCCCCTTTCAATAAAAAGTAGCCATAAATTTAATTTAATTTAAAGTAGTAGTAGATTTAATTTAAATCGGTTCAGTAGTTTTTGGAAAGCGAGGCAGACATACAGAGTTGCTTTCGCATTTATTATATTAGTAAGGATATGACAATGAGCCAGCCATCATTGCAGTCAATGTTACAGAATCAATAATAATGATGTTGTTACAGCAACAAGAGGTGTTCCTAACGTCGCGCGTGACTCACGTGGTCCGGGAGGCAGAGGGCGAGGTCGCGGCGCGATGCTGGCGGCGCGGCCCTGACGCGGCCCGCGCGCGCGCTGATGCCATGCTGCAGAGGGTGCGTCCACACCCTCACCCGCCTCCTGCGCACTGCTCCAACTACATACTGCTCACAGTACACAAGGTCCTTATTTTAATTATCTACTTTGATTTTGAGACATTTGTTACCAAACATATCAACTCAATGTTGAGAGTTTGGGCTATTGTCAGGTGCTTGTCAAACTATTTCTTTTTATTGAGGAGTTTGGGCTATTATCAGATGTTTTACACCTGTAGCGCTGCAACCTACATACATCTATTCCCCACCCTTTTTCAAAGTTCACTACCTAGACTCGTCAGGGAAAAGAATTAAAGGATATTCTTTGGAGCACTCCTCAGGATTGAGTGTATACTTTCCAAAGGAGATATTTTGTGTATGCATAAATGTGCTACAATCACAAATATTAAAAAAAATAAACAATAAGAAAATAATTAAGGACTGAGAGGAATCTATTTGTCAATTACTTTTATCAGCGCAATCTTATAAGAAGGGCATGTGTGTGCATATGTGTTTGTAGGGTGCAAGGGTAAAGTAAAGCATTTAAAACTGAATCGGTTGTAGAATGTGGACTAATGACCCCTTTGCTAGCAATGGACCATGTCAGAATGACCTCCTCTGGAAATCATATTAAATTCCTGTTGAATTTGTCAAGATGGGCTAACTGTTCACTTCATGTTCATCTTCTATTGGTACCTCACAAGCGTAAACTGTTAGTGCAGGCGGGTGCACCATTCCATTATATTAGATTACCAGAAGTAAACTAAAAAGTCCGCAGTATCCCCTATTTTGCCTCCAAGCATATTTCTAAGATGTCAGTTATAAGGTGCAAATTAGACACTAGAATTATAGGATAACTTTTAGTCCTAATATCATGTGAGTGGTATTGCAGATGTCACATGATAATGTGATATCCATAAGATGTCTGCATGGATGCCTCAGTATCACCTACTTCACCTGCCAAGCATCTTTCTAAGGTTGTCGGTTATAGGGTGCAGATTAGGCGGTAAAATTGCAAGTTAACAGGCATGATTTTAGTCTTAATGGCATGTGAGTGGTATTGCAGGTTATCACATGATAATATGATATCATAAGTTGTCTGTGTGGATACCTCAGTCTCGTCTACTTCGCCTGCCAAACACCTTTCTAAGGTTGTCAGTTATAGGGTGCAGATTAGGCAGTAAAATTACAGGTTAACAAGCATTTAGTCCTAAGAGCATGTGAGTGGTGTCGCAGTAGTCACAATAGTATATTGTAAGCTTAATTTCGGTATAGATTGGGTAGTAAAATTAAAGTTCATGATTTTAGTCCTAATAGTATTAGTGGTATTGCAGGTGTCACATGATAATGTGATATACTTAAGTTATCTGCATAGGTGAGAGATTTAATCTTAGCCTCCAAGTTTGGGCAAGCAGCTGTAATTTTGCATTTCCGTGCAGATTAGGCAGTGAAAATACAGGATAAGAGGCATGATTTTAGTCCTAATAGCATGTATGAGTGGTATTGCAAGTGTCACATGATAATATGATATACTTAAGTTATCTGCATAGGTGAGAGACCCAATCTCACCTAGTTCAGCCGCCAAGCATCTTTGTAAGGTTGTGTTTCGGTGCGGATTATGCAGGGCAAGTACAGGATAAGTGGCATGATTTTAGTCCTAATAGCATGTATGAGTGGCATTTCAGGTGATACAATATAAGGTGCTGTTCATGTATATAGGTGACGGTACCTACTTGTGGTGAGCTTGTTTATAATAAAAAAAAAGTTTTCTACACAACCTTGTATATTGGTATTATTTATATATATTTCATCAAATAGTTGTTTAAAAGTTAAATAACATATTTTCAAGATTTTTTTATCAATTTTTATTCAAAATGAAACAATTTTTTTTTTATTTTTTTTTTATATTTATTGTATCAATTTCTTTTTTAATTTCCTTAGTTTTTGGTTCAGAAAATAAATAAAATAATTAATTTATTAGATATAATATTAATTATATTGGTATCTTAATAATTTCTACCATTTAATTCTGTAAATATAGTATACCATCCTTATAAATAACATAGTAACAAGTACAGGAAAATACTACTATTTATATAAATTCTATTAATTTGTTATTACTATTGATCAATTTAATCATAACATTTCCAAAATAAATATATATTTTCTTGTAATCAATACAAAAAACATTTACTCATGTACAACATGTACATTTACTTATGAACATCAAGTTTTTATTAACATTTTTCCCCTACAGTTGAAACATTACTCTCTTATACTTTTAAAATTATTTTGTGATAGTTTAATTACTTTAACAATAATAAAAAGCAATATAACTACTTGATATTACATATTAGTTACACATAACTTTGTCTGCACAAATTATAATGTACCTAATCCATTATTTCACCCGCTTTTAAATTTTTGTTTCAGTTAAAAGAGTCACAGGCTCTTTTCGAACTTGCGATAAAATCAACCTAGTTAAAAACTCAAGCCTTATCCATATAAATTAATAATAATAATAATAATAATTCTTTATTGCGCACAGACAAACAAAGAACAATAAAAAAAAATGATAAAAAGTTATATTAATGTGTAATGAATCCACATTCTGATCTAGCAGCAGTATGAAATATAAATTTAAAAAAGTTATTTACCATAATTACATTCTTAGTTATTGCTATAACATTAAAAGTATTATATTTTCTTCTTGTATATACTATCCTGCTACAAAACACGGACATTTATATTATTGCTTTCTATAATAACTTTTTTTACTTCCATTATATATTTTTTTCTTCTTATATTAATTATAATTACTTTTAATATATAATGAACATTATGCCTCTTTCATTTATTCTTATATATTTACATTATATTTATTAATCTTTCAGGCTATAAATCTATTGGATAAACTGTATGACACATTCTTCACGGCGCCGCGCAAAGCGCATGTCAGGTTCTTCACTAAACCTTTTATCAAGATTGAATTTTTGGACAAGTATGGATCAACATTTCTTCAAATTCTGCTAGCCCACTAGTCTTTCCTGCGTATTAACTACTTTTCTCATTCCATTTCAGAGTGTGTAGACCTGTTTTCAAGGAGTTTGATGAATGGCCTGAGATATCAATAGAGCCAGACCCGCCCAAAGAAAAGAAAGAAACTATAGAGTCAACTACAACACTAGTAAATAATAACAGCCATCTTAAAGCTGTAAGTCAAAAGTAAGTAATTATTGAGAACACAACATGTAGTTGTCTGGTTTTACTGTATTATCATTTAATAACAGTACATTTATTTCAGAATGACAAGAAAAAGTCGACCACGTATCAAAGAGAGAGAAGAGAAGGAGACCAAAGGAGGTTACTGTGAAATTTGTAACACGGATTACGTAGATGCTGCTTTGCATCGACGATCGCCACATCATTTGGCATTCGTCAGAGATCACACCAATTTCCTAGCTTTAGATTCCTTGATCAGTTCCAGTACAGACGTCACTACATTCCTTGACAAAGCAACGCCGATTAATGGCGAAAGGAGATCCTTGCGAAAAATATGCAATGGGGACATGGAACAGCCAAAGAATAGGCGTTCAAAACGATCTCAAACACCTGATTCAAATACAAATGGAAACCAAAGTCCTAGACGCAATGGAGGCTTGGATGATGAAAGGAAACACAATACGAGATGTAGTAAAAGATACAGTGATGCGCATGCGGAAGATCGACAGTACTACAAAGTTGTTGGTGTAAGCACGAAGCTAAGGTCTAGTGGTGGGTTTGCAAACAAAAGGAAGGATTCACCACCTAATTGTAATGGTGCCAAACCTCTGGTTGTGAAATTTAGAAAAGTCAGAAGATCAGAGTTGTCGGTGTTAAGCGACGAGGCTGAACAATTTATGTTTCCAAAGCGCGCTAGTTCAACGAGCTCGACGTCATCAGATGATGATGATAAAGTTCTAGCTCCCAAACGGAGAACTCCGCCTCAACCGCCACCACAGCCCACACCCACATCTGAGAGGCGAAGGCTAGCGCGACCGTTAGCATTAAAAGAAGAATCATCTGAAGAAGATAGTTGGCCAGAAGATAAGAGGAGGCGTAAAAGAAAAGCGCCTGTTGTACCAAGAAGAGGTAGAAGAGTGCCTGGCAAAGCGGCAGCACCACCCTCTGTTGAACTTCCAGAAGAACAAATACCTCCAGTTGCTGCTGAGTCAGCTCGGGCTGGTAATCAACCTGATGGTGGAGTTGTGAGCCCTTTAAGGGAAGAACCTACAGAGAAATGTATGAAATGGGAGGATGGTAGACTGAAATACACTCCAGCTGTGGAACAATTGGAATTTGCATTTGAATCTGTTCCACACAGCGAGCCTTGGTTTGAAACATTCAAACGTCAAGATCAAGATAAAGTTCTTGTCAAAAATATTCCACAATATTTTGGTAAGCAAAGTATTGTAATTTATATACGACTAGTAGTAGTAGTAGTCATATTTAACAATATAATGTATTACAATGAGTATTAACCCTAAAAATATAATGTAATTTTTATATGTATGTCTTTTATTAATTTAGATTATTTTTCTTTTGTTCCAGCATTATATTCAAAGTCACCAAAGTTACCCTATGAAATTGGCCAATTACCACCTTTAAAACCTAACTGCTGTTCATTAAGTGATCTCGTTAAACGAGAAGATAAACCAGGACCCTCAAGGTCATATGGAACTAGAGGAATGAAAAAACAAAGAATACGAAAACGCACAGCGGCAATTTTAGCTTTAGAGGGTCATCCAAGAAAATCGCCCAGAGAACACGCGTCCACATTAGCTATATTGGGCTCTGCTGGATTGTTACACAGGCGAAGGCATCCCGATGATACGAAATCGACAGCATCAGAAGACACGGTTAGTGATATACAAAACAACTTGAAAGTAGAGCCAGTTTTGTCAGAGACACAAGAAGCTTCAGAGAGACTTCAACAGTTTTTGTCTGAAGTCTTCGAGGATGCAGCCGATTTTGAGGTGTCAGACGAGCTTATGGAGGGCGAAACTATGGTTACCACATCTACCAATATTCCTGATGTGTCCAGTCTAGTACTCGAATGTCAAGATTGTGATATAATTAGGAACGAAATCAAAGAGAGAGAGGTAGACCGAACGAGATCGAGACGAGGCAGGTTCAAGAAGAAGAACAGAACAGGGTGGCCCAACAAAAAGAAACAAATAAAGAAATCTTCCAGAGGGAACAGTCTGGACGCTGAAAGGAAAACGGACAGTAGTTTAGATAGGTCGTCGGCGGAACCGCCCGACGACGAGACCACTCAGGACACGCTCAGCGAGGAGGACCCAAATATGTCGGAGACGGAGAGAGATGAAACTATGTTAACAGAGGACAAGTCTAAGTCGGGAGACGAGAACGACGAGACCCTATTGGGAGATAAAATGAAATCGGAAGACGAGTCGCAGGACAAGTTTGAAGACATGGATGTAGACTCGTCTCACAATAAGTCCACGCAGCTAGACTTAAAACTGCTTCTCCGGGACGAGAAGCCGAAAGGCAATAAGGGTGTGGAAAAAGACGAGAAGCGAACGTCGCGCTCGGTATTTGAGGATGAGAAGGAGGTTCGGAAACGGAAACGCGGGCTGCAGGGGCTCGGCGGCTGGCTGCAGCCCGTCGTGAGGGTGGCGCGGGTGGACCCCGGGGCGGCGCGGCGGCTGCGGTCGGCCGCCCCCGCCTCCCCCGCCTCCCCCGCCGCCCCCGCCGCCCCCGCCGCAGCCCCCGCCGCCCCCCACGCGCCCTCGCGCCGAACCAGCCGCCCACGGTAGCCTCCGGCCCCCGCTATACCCAAATGAGCACTGTGCTTATCGTTAATATTTATTTTGTACATAGCGTCTCAATTTTTACGTTAATATATATCATATCCAAATTAACTGAACGGACCATTCGTTGTGCGCGATGTAACGAAAGATCAGTATTTAAGATTTTGTTATAGAAAGAGTAATATATCTCGAGGGTGTAAATAGTACGTTAATATTTAGATATAGTGACGGACGGCATGTCGTGTGTGCGAGTGCAGTGCATTTAGATGTTGCGAGCTTAGTTTGTATATAAACGTTAATGTATGCTTAGTGAGTACCGTACTTTTATTTCTATGAGATGGAATTTGTGTCGTATAAAGTTTCATCTTAAAAAACTGTATAAATGATTATTCTAATACGTTAGTTTTATTTCTGTGTTATTGTAATTAAAGGTCTTGGCAATTAATAATAAATGAATAAATAAACTCTGGACAATTAACACAGAGCTATCTAAACCCACAATAAGCAGGGCTTGTATTATATGTTGTTGTGGATACTAGATACCTGATAAAAAAACATATATACATTTTTTTTTGTAAATACATACGTAATATACATACAAACACCCAGACCGATACAAACGATCATACTCATAAATACAAATGTTTGTACCGTGCGAAGAATCGAACCCGCGACCACCGGAAATGAAGCGGCGTGCGGAGCCGATAGACCATTGAGCCATTGAACAATTATAATTGGCTGATGTAAATCCATCAACTTCTCAACGAACTTGCAATTTATGACTACCCCCATATCCTATCCCATTATTATCCACCAAATCCGGGGGCAGTAACAAAAATTCTAGTCATTCGTTACACGTCGCGTCGGCCACATGTAGTTCCTCAGTTTCTACACGCTGGGACGACGCCAACCAGGTTTGTCTAGATTTCCTACAACAATTCACTATGAATCCACCAACATTATCACAAATTGAGATGTACCAAAAAAACTCGCTAATGACATTATCCAAACCAGAAACCTAAAGAGAGAATCGGATTGCGGTATAAGAAAATTCATGAAAATAACTACATACATAATAAAATAAGATAATGAACTATGTATAGAGGTATACAAAAAATATATAGAGTTGTGATGACAAGAATGGTGGTGAGAGTAAACACACACAGTAGGGTGTAACTTGTTTATTAACTGTTACATCTTGAATTACTCTACCTTAGACTAATTACATAAACTATATGTATGAGCAACTGCGTGACCTACGTGTGGTTATATAGAACGTACACTGGCACAATCTACTATCGAACGTGTTGATTTGCATCACTATATCAGAGTCAACGTGTGCTATTGGCGTTAAAAGCGCCCAAGTCACGTACCACAAAAAGATCGTAGATTTCTGCAATCTCAAAATTTGTAACCGTTAAATAGTATTCTAGTAAAGTTGATCCCATTACTAGCAATGTGCCTTATCAAGTCAATCTTCACAGTGTCCAGTGGAGGATGATAAAGTGAATATGAGGTCTGGTCAGTTAGCCCATCGTGACAAATTCACTAGGAATTTATCACGGTGGTTTCCAGGTGCCTCGTGGTTATCGACCTATCATTGTACATTGCTGGCAATGGAGATTATTAATTACCATTACTAACAATGCCCTTCCCCCACTATTTAATGTTATTTTACTAAATACATGCCTTATTCATTTTCTAAAACGAAAAAACCTTATTTTTACACTGGCGTAGTCTAAAACGTCACAGACAAATATGAGAGGTCACATAGTTATGTACTCCTACTTTGTCACTACCAGAAACGAGTAATCTTATTAAAGCAAATTAAGACTACTCACTACAATTATGGTCAATTGCTGTATCGTACTAATATTATAAACGCTAACGTTTGTGAGTATGGAACGATGGATGTGTCTTACTCTCACACAAAAACTACTGAACCACTACGGATATTAATGAAACTACAGTAATACGTACGTTACACTATAAGTTTTGCGTAACTTTAAAAAACAACATGTTATAACCAAAATATTATGTTAATTGCTTTTCAAAATAGAGTATTTTGAAAAGCAACTTTACATTGTAAACATTTTTTCATGCGATCGAACCATTTTTTAAAACAGGAGGACCACAGATCTGTAGGCATTTTTTCTACGTGCAGATTGCGACGCTATCACTGCCTCTTCGGAGTTATTAAAAGTGAAACCTCTCATCAAATCTTTAATTTTGGGGAAAATACAGAAATTACAGGGTGCTAGGTCGGGGCTATGCGCACGATGGCTGACGAATTGTACTTTTTCGGAAGCTAAAAATAACTTTGTTTTGTTGGCCGTGTGTGAAGAAGCGTTGTCATGATGTAGGAGAATGCGGCTTCTTGGTCGTGTTTCGCGAACCTATTCTAACACCCTGGGTAAACAAATGGTAGAATACCACTCGGGATGAACACTCTTTTGATCTTCAAGTGGAATTGTACAGATGTGACCCATAGTTGAGAAGAAAAACGCGATCATTTTTTTACTAACATTTATTGCCTGCCTCACTTGTTGGCCTGTTCTCATTTTGAGACTGCTGTTTTTTTCGTGTTCAAAATAATAAATCCACGTTACGTCTCCTATGACAATGTCATAAACAGCATTAGAATGTTCGTGGTCGCACTTCAGTAGCATCTGTGAGCACCATTCCCCGCGAGCCCGCTTCTGCTCCGCTGTCAGTTCATGAGGGATCAAACGACAACAAAGTTTCCGAACTCTCAATTCTTCGTGTAAAATTTTCTGAATTTGGCTCATACCAATAGTCCACGAATTGTCTCATAGGTAATCTGCTGGTTTTCTTCAATTAGCCGCTTAATAGTAGCCAAATTATTTTCGTTGATGGCAGTTGATGGCCGCTCTTCACGAAATTCGTCACGTAAAGAAACTCGACCTCTCTCAAATTCAGCATACTATCCCCTCACGGTGCTCAAACAAGGTGCTTCTTCAAAGTAAGTTTATTTGAATAAAAAATTATCGCTCTAAAATATTTTCAACAATTCCATTTTCTTTAGAACTTTGATGTGTGATAAAAAAAATTGACAAATGATTTCCCGCCAATTTTTTTTACTACTAAGAAGGTTGCAACGTTTCAAAAAATATAACATTCCAAATTCAAATACTTCCGATTAACTAGAAGTGCAAAACTTTTACTGTGCCCCATGTATAAGTTATACATTAGACTAACACAGGCTATAAGTTTCAGGTGGGTGAATTCGCGGACATACTTGTTACATACAGATAGATGATGTACGAAATTGGTTCGAAGTATGTAATATTAGAGAACCCATACTCTATTGAGACAATAACGGTTATCAGAAATGAAAGCCTTACCACTTGCATATGCAGTTTGATAAATTAAGAACGAACTTCGTAGCTTCGAGTTTATTTTTATGTGACAAAACTGATTTGTCAATATTTACAAAACTGATAATCATGTTTCGTTTCCCCTACGCATGGGAATCCATGATGCTGATCTCGCCATGTGGTCTCTACGTGTGGCAGTTTTCTACTATTTACCGTCTCAAGTAGTCAGTCGCTTTGCAATTTATTGACTTATTTAAACAAATACGTGAGTCGTAAAGTTGTTAGAAATATGGACTAATGACCCCATTACTCACAATGTACATGTCAGGTTGACCTCCACGCGGTTACCCCTGGAAATCATCATGGTGAATTCTAGTGAATGTGTTACGCTGACCTGACGTCATTTTCATATTATCCTCCACTAGACCCTGCCAGCGTAAAACGTTAGTGCATGAGGGAATATGATTCCATAATCATCCAAAAGACAACAAACCGAAGCCGATAACCAGAAATAATATTTATGAAAGCGAATTTCACAAAGAAGCAAAGTGAAAGTCTTTATTCAAAAATGTTAAAACTTCATACCTATCCGAAGTTTAGTTTGTCTTCAATTTAGATAGATAGATAGATAAGTTCTTTATTCAACAATTACAAACACATAGCATACATGAGATACATTTTATAAATAGAAATAAAGTTTACAAATTAAAGAATACAGAAATATAATATTACAAAATAAAATAAAAATAGAGGTGCCTTTATGTGTCGCAATGATGAAGAGGCAACCAACTCAGCATGAAGCTACAGATAAGTCTGCAGCGCTGATATTCTGTTGGCTCCTATAAATTTGGTATATTTTTTTATTACAATTTATTAAAAGTAGTTCAATTTCATTTTTCTCGGCTAATATAACCAACTGAAATGAAGGACGAAGTTCGCATCACGTATAAAATATTGGACTTTTGAATATGAAAATTATAATGTAGGAGTACCTACGTTTCCGTATTATACAAATGGAAATGTATTGCAGAGGTCATCGACATTTGCTTTTCCCTTCCGCCCCCTATCGGTAGATAAGTACAATCGGCTTCATAAATATTAGGCTACATACATACCTGACTACGTATACTCTATGTATGTGCGTAATTATTGGATAACAAAGTAGTCTAATTTCAAACGAGTTTTGACATTTAAAAAACAAAATTTTGTATTTAAGTATATATAGCGCGATGGTTAATACCTCATCACTATATCGTTATATATGATGTGATGAGGTGTCGCTAATAAATTTGTGTTTCCTGTGGTATGTATAGTTAGTGAGAAGGTATAATAATTGTTCTACATTAGTAAGTTTATTTGATGGTGTGCTACATGGCTTATTAGTAACGCGTACACTCGACACGGAGTCGTAACGTGGACTGACTTTACATTGTACTTAAGTCTGTTATGTGGAGACATAAATAAATGGAAAGTTGTTGAGTGTTGACAGAAATATTACAAGTGTGGGCACAGATATATTCAATATTCATAGAACATAGTAAGATAATAAATTACTGTTACCTTTTTAAATTGCATTTCTATATACTCATTAGCGGCTTTGATAACAATAATAAGGCTATGATAGACTGATGGTGTACATAAGAATGTTCACGCAAAAATCTATACATATGGAACTAACTGTACCAATGTTTATATCAATAACGTATGGTACCAACGTCGTTATAGATCATAGACAGTTGCATAATGTATTATGTATAGATAGAGGTAGATATTAACAACTAAAGCAACTACACACATGTGGCGCTACTTTAGCGCCATCTGTTATTGACTAGATGAACTTGAAATGTCTCGCGTTATTCGTAAATCCATACAGATTAGTACTATACTGATACTAAGATAAATTTATAGTTAAAATTATTAGGTATAAATGAAATATAATATGTAATATATTTTCACTCCACACATACCCAGGTATATATTTACGGCAATAATTACGTCTCGTCCCGTTGCTTTCATAATCTTTATAGTTACTCTACGCGATAACAGATGACAGCACACAGAAAACTGCTGTTAACACTACCTTTCAGTTTATAAGTACCTATTTTACCCACATTTAGCTATATATTTCTCTAACAATGCGAGGGTATGCAAGATTGTATGAAACACACTTCAAAATATTAACAATGAACAATACTTATTGTATTAATAACGTTTCATTTTGATAAATATGCTTCAGAATATTATTGTTACAAATACCTACCTTAAATTTTTACGGTTAGCCTAATTATAACGAGCTGTTGAGGTAATTTGAGTTGAAAAGCATATAAACTGCAGTAGTATCAAAGATTAAAAATAAAACAGCTCAGTAATTAGCGAAAAGAAAAAATATTATTAGTAAAGATGCTTTCATTTTGCACATGTGTTTTCACAAAGCAATTATCGTTTGTGCATCAGTTGCAAATTTTAAAATTAATAGTTTCAGATGACTATCTGGCGCATACACACAAACAAAATTTAATCTCCCTTTTTATAATATGAATGTGAACTTCTTGCATAGATAAAATTATTATTGACTGTAGATATTCTTAATACGCTCATATATAATAAAACAACTACATAAAAATAATACAAAATAACTCAAATACACAATTGTTTTATTGATACATTGGTTTTGGGGATTATAAAATGAAAGTAGTCAATCTAATCTAACAGGCATGTAATCAATAAAAACAATTTACACTTTATACATCTCCGCAGATGGTACCATATCAGTTTTACATAGTCCATTCTTGTTTGAATAACATGTAAAATTAATCTGAACTAGACACTAAGCTGTATACCGTAATGTCTTAGACCAACTGTTTATTTATAACACATTAATTTTGTCTATGATCTTATATTATCAAGTGATGAAATTATTCACAATAAAAATTATTGATCTAAATTCTTGAGATAAACAGCAATGGCTTCACATTTATTCGTAAATATCTTCCTTATCAGCAATATATTGGATTATGTCTTTTGGTCTAACAAGCCTCTCTGCATCAGCATCAGGTATTTCAAAACCGAATTCATCCTCCATAGCCATAATGACTTCAACATGGTCGAGGGAATCGAGTCCCAGATCAGTCATGAAATGGGATTCTACAGATAACTGAAATGAAGATGAAAAAATAGTTATCGCAAATTACTTGTTAGTAAGAACACAGATAAAGATAGAAATTGAGATAAAAGTAATATTGTATAAAAAAAAAAGATATTTTGAGAGACAATGCTACCTTTTCAGGATTAATTTTGTCATAAAGCTGTAGTACAAGGATCACTCTACTTTTAATAAGGTCTAAAGAGAGTGGGGGACCACCGCTGTACTTGCGGACACCACTGATGTTCTGAAACAAATGTATGAAAATAAATGTAGCTATACCTGACTAGTACTCAGTTTGTCGTAAGCCCTGCACACTTTCAACACTCGTTCCTCAATTTCCTGCGGAGAGGGTTTAGACTGCGCGCCAGAGTATTGTTGTATTCGCTGACATTGCACCTAAACATTTTATATTAACACTCAGAGTGTATACACATTTGTTATGCAATACTTTGAGGTTATAAAACATAGGGCCTCAGGGAAAATAAATAGGGATACAGAATACTTTTACTATTGTTATAATATACTTCAATTCATAGTAAATATATAATAATAACTATATTTATTTCAATAAATAATGATATTGATTGAAAAAAAACCTTACCCCAGTTTGTAAGTGGTTGGAATTATATATCTGAACGGCACACTTTATTGTACTATATTTTTGTTTTAAGGCCAAAGTAGAAAATCTGCAAACAACCGGCGTCTTATATGTGGTGGATTTTCGTAGTAATCCATTGAAAACACTGCGAACAAGATTATTAGCAGCCATTTTTCCGACTTCAAATAATAATTTTCATAGACTAAATGATTATTTTGCCTTTTTTTAAGAACTCTCGTGAAAGAATGAGATGCAGGGTAACTTCGATACTGCTTTAATTTGTGTTCTAACTTTTTCTTATACAACAATATTACAAACTACACTTGGAAAGGTATAGTAGTAGTAGGTAAGTAAATTTTTAGTTATTATTCCAAAGGTAATAATCACTCCATAATATGATACAAACAAATATGGTTCTAATCAGTTGTCTATGGTAAATTTCCGTCTCCAGACGTTTCAACCGTCAGCTGGTATCGCTGTCAAGTCAAAAACTGTCAACTTGTCAATTTTGTTTGTCATTTCAATTGTTTTGTATGGACGTGGAAAATGGTTTTACACATTTTGTTTAATTAAAATAATATATAAAATGGGTAACGCAGATACAAAACTAAACTTCAGAAAGGCTGTTGTACAGCTCACTTCTAAATCACAGGTAAGAATGAACGAATCGTTTAACTGCGTGTTTTTTATGTTATGAATATTGTTTGTTTAACTTGTAATAATTATTTCAGCCAATAGACTCTTCAGATGATAGTTTCTGGGACCAGTTCTGGTCTGAAAGCGTGACTAATGTGCAAGATGTGTTTGCACTTGTCCCCGGGGCTGAGATCCGGGCTCTAAGGGAGGAGTCTCCTAACAACTTAGCCACTTTAGTCTACAAAGCTGTAGAGAAATTGATGAAGACTGTAGACAGCAGCTGTAGGACACAAAGAGAACAACAAACAGGTAACAATATACATTTTAGTGCCATATTGGGTTCATATATACACAGAAAAATGTGCACATGTCACAGATATGATCAAATATTTTTTCTATTAAAAAAATACAGATTAATGAGAAAAAAGGTTTTTAAAGAGATTCTGGTTTTCTTTTTTTATTATAGAACAAAATTCATTGACCTACATAGCACAACCATTTTAAACAAAGTTCTGTTGAATTCTGATACTAATCGTATAATAATTATGGTTTTAATATTTTTTTATTAACATTATTTTTTTTATCATGTGAATCCATACATGATAAAAAAATTATGTTAATAAAAAAAATATTAAATCCATAATTATTATATCAGAATGTTGATTTTTGACAATAATCTGCATACCCTGTCTGGCATATTACTGTTACTTTTTAACTGACATTCTGTCTCATCAAATACCCTTAAACCTACATCTGGGTCACAAGTTCTGTAAAGTGCTCTCAGTTTCCCTCTCAGTCATTTTCATCGTAATAAACCTGGTACTTGCATGGTGAATTCATGGATGTTAAGTTTGTCTCTGTATTTTTAATGATATATAAAATATAATTACCTACCTTTTTTTAGTAAGTTTTCAGATAAAAATATTTGTTTGCAAAACACCAGTTGGTCATGAAGTAAATTAATCAAATCAAATCAAACGTCAATCTCATTAATTAAAATCTACAGTTTTTAATATAGTTAAAGACTGACAAAACTACATAATTATTTAACTACATTCAATCAACTGCTTGACCCACTGGTGCTTTGCCCACAAGTATAGGAACTTTTTCTGAAGGCAACCCTTTTGAAATCTTGTTAGGTAGATTCAACTTTTAGTGCCATTGTTATAGAAACTTTTTCTACCCATCCTATTTCATTATATCACCTCCATAGCTCTCAACTGCGCTCGGCTGCTTACACGAGTGTTGCCATATATGCTGGAAGAACCTGAGTGGCATGGATTCTTCTGGTCATCGCTTCCAGCTGCTAGCGAAAATGATTCAGTGCCTCTCGCCCAGTCACTGATTAATGCTGTCTGTGTAAGTTGAATTTCAATATCTCAGATTCAAAAAGTTACAATTCACACAGCGCCATCTAGTCCCAAACTAAGTAGTGTTTGCATTATGGGTACTGGTGTAAATACAGAAAATTATAGAAGCAGGACAGTGAACACATCACAGTTATCAGAAAAATAAACAAAAATCTTGACTCTATGGTTATAAAACTATATCTGTCATTTAAAAGAACCTAAAAAATCAAAACTTTGTGATCATTTCAACCTTGTTCCTACAAATTGTAACTTTTGCTCCTACATCCTGCTTCCAGTTTATCGTAGACTTTTGAACACCTGTAGATGAATAGTTATTTTCTCATGAAGCCTGGATATGTCTGCCAATTATTTAAGTTCCTTACTCTGTAAACCATTATTGTGGAGACAACCTTGTAAGATGTTAGTAACCCAAACAAGGGATTCTATATTTTAAATATGTTATCAGTGTATATGCACTACTTAAATGTTATGTAATAGTTAATTTAGATTAACTAAAAAAATATAATGATAATTTAAATTTACCAATTAAGTTTTTGCCAGTTCTTCTCAATTAAAATAGCTATCTGAATTGTACGTGATAAAAAATGTAATATACACAAAAACAACCAAGTGGCAAACAAGCATATGCCCCATCTGATGGTAAATTGTTACCGTAGCTTATGGACGCCGGAGACACCAAGAGTGTCTCGTGCGTGTTGCCGACGCACAAGAAACCGTAATATACCCTTCTTAAAAAACCCCATGCTGTAGTCTCGTGAGAAAACCTCGGCAGGAAGTTCATTCCAACATCTATGTAGGTCATATGTTTATATGTGAATAAATAATATAAATTGCAGTCATTGAAATAATGCATAACATTTCAGGATCTACTATTTTGCCCTGACTTTACGGTGGCAAGCACGAAGCGCTCAGGACCCGTGAGTATTGATTATTATGTTGGCATAGATAACTTATCTAGTGTACCGACACAGGCGGTTATAGATATGGACTCTTATAGGGCAGACTTTGAATGCACGGCAAGAAATATAGTATAATGAAATAAGTACATAATTTGATGAGTAATAATAATATTAACAAACCTAAAGATATAAATGATCTAAGTACTAACTACAGAAAAACATATTACGCCGACCCAATAGGATAAGGAAAAAGCAGATGATCTAAGTAATTGCGATACTTAATATCCATAAGAAAGTTGATACTCGACAGTCGACACAAGAAATAACATACAGATATGGGGTGCTATAGGACAGGGTAGGCGAACTTTTATGCATCAACGTGTCATTTTTTCCAAAAAAATTTTTAAAGACGGGTCTTCAACGTGCCATCAAATAATTTTGACTTTCTGATTATTGAATCTATATTATTGATATTTCTGCTCACTTTGTATATATTTCAGTTTAGAACTGTATTTAAAAGTGCAATAAAGAATATAAAATTATTTGGAAAATAATAATAATAAATACTATCAAAACTCTCTATGAAATAAAGAGTATGAAATAAGTTGCGGGATGATATAAAAATACTACCGATAAATATGTTCAAGAGAGAGTTAAAAAGATGGCTGATTAATAAGTGTTTTTACTCTGTTGATGAGTACTTTAATTCATGAAGTAGGTAATCGTAGTACTTTGCCCAGAAATTTTAATTTAATTTAATAATGATGAAAATAAAAATGAAACTGAGAAATATGTATAATCTTATAATAATAAATGGACACTGTTAATTTTGCATGCCAGTTTCTGGTGAAAAGTGTGATACATAAATTATAATTTTTAAAATCCTGTAAACCACTTTTCAGGCAAAATAAAGTTATTTGTATTTATTATTATTAAATTATAATAAAAATATATTTTTTTAAATAGATAGAGCGATTCAGGAGGAAGCTTTATATGTATAATACATGTGGCTGGCTACTGTATATATACATAATGTTATTTAATGAAATATTTGTACAATTTCATTGCTAGTATTTAATGCAGTTTTAGCTATAGATAGGCTGATTGAAGAGGAATGTTTATACGTATAATACATGTGTACCCATGTAAAACAGGAGCGGGTAGCTTATAAAACCAGACGCATTAGTCAGTTTGATGTATTTTTTTATAAATGTAATATTAATGTATATAAGACATGTGGTGTGTGTGTCAGGAGCGCGCGGAGGAGCTGTCGTCGCTGGACAGCTGCGAGTACATCTGGGCGGGCGGCGTGGGGTTCGCCCGCAGCCCGGCGCGCTCCGCCCCGCACGAGGCGGCCCGCGCCGAGCTGCTGCGGTTGCTGCTCACCTGCTTCAGCGAGACCATCTACAAGCCCGCGCCGCACACCGCCACCCATCACAACAAGTGGATCGCGTTAGTTATATCTTATTTTTTAACGTTACTCGAATGGCAAATGATCCGATCCATCGGATTGTAACTGTAGTGTCTTTAAGCTGTAGTTGAGTTTGTACCTATTACCAATATCAATTCTTTCACTCAAATTCATATTACGAGAGAATGGTTTTGGCTTCAGTGTTTTTTTTTTTATGACCGGCCGCCTGCCTGACGTACCTATTACCAATAATTACATAGTATAAAGTCGCTGCCGCTATCTGTTTCTATCTCAATGCTTAAATCTTTAAAAGTACGCAAGGGATATTGAAGCGGTTTTTTTAATAGATAAGAGTCATTCTAGAGGAAGGTTTATATATATTATACATGTACACCCGTGCGAAGCCGGGGCAAGTAGCTAGTCCTTTTATAAAACCTTTGTATATTTTTATAATATGACTATGATTATGACTGTATGCTATGATGATATGATACGACACGATACCATCAACAGACATTTTGTATTTCTCTGCAATTTCTTAAAATTTCTATTGTATAAAAGAAGATACCTTAATGTACCTTAATGTTTGTAATCTTGTTATTGTCAATTTTTATGTTTATTTTGTTAGTTGTAGTTTAAAACTTAACATAATATGCTGTCGTCGTCGTTGATCTCATATTGTATTATTTTACTGATAAAACAGAATAGCAGAGATGGTGGACTCACTGCCCTCACTGAGTTATAGACCGTTTGGTCTCATTCATTAGTTTTAAATTATATTATTGTACGGGCAACAGTTGTATTGTGTGAAAAGTTTTTGTTTGAGACAAATAAAGATTATTATTAGTATTATTATGTGCGCTGGGCTGCGCTAACGGTTTACGTTGACGAGGCACCAGTGAAGGATCAAAAAATGAGCAATAGGTCAGGTCAGGTCTCCCATCGTGACTCAACATGACAAACTCAATAAAAATAAATAAAACGAGTTGAGATCCCGTGATTTTTCGTGACTGTACATATTCTTATTATATTGTTTTATACAGTTACTTGACGAGTCCAGACAACCGGCATGCCTTACCGCTGTTCACGTCGCTGTTGAATACTGTGTGCTCATACGACCCGGTCGGACTAGGGCTGCCCTACAACCATCTGTTGTTCGCTGACACACTGGAGCCGCTTGTAGAAGTAAGTTTTTTCGGTTTTTACACTCTATCCTGAGGAGATGAAACCATGTTTCCTAAGAATATCCTTCAATTCTTGTCCCTGACCGCCCTTGAGAGTTCGCCTCTCAAGGGCGAGCACAGTAGATCTATGTAGGTCGCAGTACTACAGGTCCAAGCAACCGTTTATCATCAGATGGCCCGGCCCTATGCTTGTTTGCCACCTATGTGGTATAAAAAAAAGCATCTGACAATAGCCCAAACCCCTCCAATAAACAAAAAGTTTTCGGACTACTCTAATGCTGTTAGCCGCAGCTAGCATTTACAATTTTGTCGGGCGATAGTTGCCAAGTGCAGAAGAAAGAGATGGAAGAAAGAAAATGATTTTATTCAATGCTTTTCAACAATGTTACAATGGCACTCCAAAGTCGCGGAATGACTTATGGAGCGGATGAATGCCTCCTGCCTGACGGATACTAGTTTAGTCTGAGGGCACTGCTAGTGGTTCGAAGCTTAGCTTAGGCCGTCGTAATTTTGATCCCCGTTTGAATTGGATGGGGGATCATTCGGAGGTGCGAAGCAAGTGTTTTGGTATTGTATAATAATGCGGTATTGTCGGTTGACACAGTTATATTAACGGATGAGAGTCAACTTATATTATAATATTGATTTTTTTATACTACGATGGTGGCAAACAAGCATACGGCTGATCTTATGGTAAACAGCCAGTTTCTTTTTGCAACATTTCTTAATGCTCTTTTACTTATGCTCTGCTAGCTTACCTCTATAAATATGCTATCGAACAATAAAGTATGTATATTTTAATTATGAACCAGTAGTTTCTAAGATTAGCGTGTTCGAGCAAAACAAACTTTCCAGATTTAAAATATTAAATTAATTTTGAGGAACAAGACCTCCAGAACAGGTTCTAAAGTGTTTGTCTGATGCAGGTGGCGTTACAGATCCTGATAGTTACATTGGACCATGACACAAGCAACACGGTCAACGAGGAAACTGACGAGGTAATCATGGAGTTATGACATATACTTCATTTGACGGCCTCGGTGGACGAGCGGTTTAGCACATCGCTTTACTTCCGATGGTCGCGGGTTCGATTCCTCGCAAGGTGCACACTTTATATTCATGAATTTGATTGTTTGTATTACTCTGGGTGTTCTCTATGTATATTACGTATGTTACAAAAAGCTAAGTATTTATATCAGTTGTCTAGTACCACAATACACAATAAACACATAACACAAGCTCTGCTTAACATGAGACTAGATGGCGCTGTGTTAATTGTCCAGGGTTATTTATTATTTATTATGACTCATTTGTAAATAATTAGTTTTTTATGCAAATGGAATAACAAACAACATGAGAATCCACCTGAAGGAAAATAAAAATATTCGCTTCATTACATAGTATAAAAAAAAGTCGCTGTCATTGTCTGTCCGTCCATATGTATGCTTAAATCTTTAAAATTACACAATAGATTTTGAAGCGATTTTTTTAATACATAGAGTGATTCAAGTGGAATGTTTATAAATAGAATACATGTACACCCATGCGAAGCCGGGGTGGGTAGCTAGTATATACATAAAATGCGAAGTGTAATTAAATAAAGTCTGATGCCTTATCCTATATTTTCACTGCCTTTTTTTTCTTTTCTTCATCTTCAGTCGTTCACTCTTGGCAGAGTGGACGTGGCTTTCATGATGGATTTTGTGGTGATTGAAGACCCCGTTGCTTGCAATGTACCATGTCAGGTTGACCTCCACGCGGTTCCCCCTGGAAACCATCCTGATAAATTCCTGATGAATTTGTCATGGTGAGCTAACTAACCTGACCTCATGCTCATCCTATCATCCCCCACTGGTGCACCGCCAGCATAAACCGTTAGCGCAGGCGGGAGCATCATTCCATTATCATCCACTAAAAAAAATATCTTTTTTTTTTTGGCTGCACGAGACCATTGTACAATGGACTGCTGTGTAGCCATTCTTATAATGTCAGTCCATCTCGTTGGTGATCGACCCCGAGAATGTCTCCCTCAACTGAACCTTGGATAATTAGTTCGCTCCATACAGTGTTCGTTCCGGCTAATGTGACCAAAATACTTGAGAACTCGTATTTGCACAGTCGACGATAATCTCTCCCTGATGTTGAGTTCGTTAAGGATGGAAACAATGGTACGACGAGCAGTCCAATGTATACGCAACATTCGCCGCCAGCACCACATCTCGAGGACATCAATTTTCCTGCGTTCTTGCATCCTCACTGTCCAAGTCTCTGCACCTTAAAGGAAAATTGGAAAAACTAGTGTTTTCATTTCTATCTGTAAGAAACAATTGTACATCATCTTGTAAGTAGTAATTAAGGTCACAACCACAGCATCCCCATTCACATCTTCTTTCGCGCCCGGGAATATGTACGAGCTAGCATTGTACATTATTTCGCAACATTAACATTTTATTTTACATTTCACATTTCATTAAAATCAGTTCGCATTCGGTCAACAAGGACGCCGCGCGTACACATTACAATCATTAATCAGTTATATTTTAAGTTTCAATATACAGTTTTAATCAAGTTTCTATCAGTATCATTTATCAGTTTTACCTATCAGAATCTTTATAGTTTCGGTACAACCCGAACAAAGTGCATTGCCTTTTTTTTCCGTGGGGGAAAATCACTCAGATTTGGTACGACTGTTTGACTGTAATATAGATAATATAAATACTTGTTTCTGTTCATTATCCAGAGTCTCCCGGACAATCTGTTCATCAACTACCTGTCCCGGATACACCGCGACGAGGACTTCCAGTTCGCGCTGCGCGGCGTCACCCGCCTTCTGAACAACCCTCTCGCCCAGACCTACCTGCCCAACTCCGCCAAGAAGGTCAACCTGCACCAGGAACTGCTGGTCTTGTTCTGGAAGATGTGCGATTATAACAAGGTATGCCGCCAAAGAAACATCAGATAACTAAATTTCGCTGTATCAAATAACGGATAGTGTTAAAAACTTCAATAATGAGCCTGTCTGGCTGTATTTTTATTCTATACTAGCTGTTCCCGCGACTTCGTCCGCGTGGTTTTTAACTTTATTTTTCTAAAATAAAAGTAGCCTAAGTTACTCCTTATACATCAGCTACCTGCCAAAAAAAGTTCTGTCAAAATTGATCCAGCCATTTCAGAGATTAGCCGGAACAAACAGACCGACAGACAGACAGACAAAAATTATAAAAATTGTTATTTTGGTATATGTACCCTATATATATTCATATGCATATAGTAAAAAACGGTTATTTCAATATTACAAACAGAAACTCCAATTTTGTTTATATGTATAGATAATACGACGACAGTAATGAAAACACTAATATATGTACGTACATTTTAAAATACTGTCGTGGAAACGTCATTTACCGCTTTTAAAATAATATGTTAAAATAAAAGTTTCCAATAAAACAAATCGGTATCGCAGGTACACCACTACCTCGCTATAGGTGGTAACATTATTTGAAAGTTTGACATTAATACCTGTCAATTAAGTCTCCGGGATTAAAAAACTAACTACTGGTACCTAATTGATAAAGCTGTCCCTTACACACACTAGTAGGAGTCTGCTAATACAATTAATAAAATAAAAAAAAATACGAGCTCAATTTCTTGTCAGTTCTTCTCATCTCGAAATCATTCCGAACTGACGGTAGATGTGACATATCACAAGAGTCTGTAATAGACCTACATGAAAAAAGATATAGTTAATTTTTAATTTTTTTAAATTTTGAATTGTCGGACTGAATAAAGTAATGTGTGATCAACTTTTAATTAACTTATTCGTTTCTTTTCTTTCAGAAATTCATGTACTACGTATTGAAGAGTAGTGATGTTCTAGAAGTGTTAGTTCCAATACTGTATCACTTAAACGACTCGCGCGCGGACCAGTGTAAGTTGCTACTATATTTTGACGGCCTCGATGGTCTAGCGGTTTAGGACATCGCCTTATTGTCGACGATTGCGGGTTCAATTCATCGCAGTATACAAACATTTGTATTCATGAGTATGATTGTTTGTATTGATCTGGGTGTTTCTATATATATAATTTACTAGGGTTATACTTTACTTATTTATAAAAAAACATGCATATAAGTCTAGTCTCGCTAACATAAGCTCTGCTTAGCTTGGCACTAGATGGCACTGTATGAATTGTCCAGGGCTTCAATTCTTTACTTTCTTTGCTTTAATATTTCCTTGTTATTATACTTTATTTATATTTATGATGGCCTCGGTGGTCTACTGGTTTAGCACATCGCTTTACTTTCGATGGTCTCGGGTTGAATTCCTCGCACGGTGCAAACATTTGCATTCATGAATATTGATTGTTTGTATCGGTCTGAGTGTTTATATGTATATTACGTATGTTACAAAAAAATATCTATCAGTATTTATTTCTGTTGTCTAGTGCCCATAACACAAGCTCTGCTTACCGTGGGGCTAGATGGCCCTGTGTTAATCCAGGGTTATTTATTTATTTATGATTATAAGAGAATAAAAAATAAATCTTTTTTATTATTCAGCTCGAGTCGGCCTCATGCACATCGGCGTGTTTATCTTACTGTTGCTGTCCGGGGAGAGGAACTTCGGTGTACGAATGAACAAGCCGTACACAGCCACTATACCGATGGATATCCCGGTGTTCACGGGCACCCACGCCGACCTTCTAGTGGTGGTGTTCCACAAGATCATCACCACAGGACATCAGAGGCTGCAGCCGTTGTTTGACTGTCTTCTCACTATACTCGTTAATGGTAAGTAGTGAATATATTGATTGTTAGAATAATAAATTTTTTTGTTGTACAAATCTTCATAATTATTCCCTTAGGTGACGACGGGTTGTATGGGATCTTACACACTCAAACACCATACGACGTACCTACATGCGCCATTGCTGAAGTCACTAGGTCGTGTTCCAATCTACGCTACTTCGGTGGCGTTGTCCCGCCCTATAGACGGTGTGGGGCAGCCTATCTCGTTGATAGGGCGACCTATTTCGCCCTACTTAATTGGGGAAGCGTAGGTACATGGCTCCGGGGCCATTTCATCAAGGCGAACATCCCGGCCCCAGTGGGTGATAGAGATGAGTAGGAGTTGAGTACGCCCCTAAGAGTAAATTGCATGTATACAAAGAAAAGAAAATTGGAAATTCAACTTTAAATTTTTAATTACAAGATTGATTGTCCAATAATGTTTGTAAATTTTTGACTCCTGTCCGCGTCTTCTCCATCGTAATTAGAAGAATAAAAAGCTAGTAAGAGAGCAGCTCTGCTTAGTTTAGAACTAGATGGCACTGTGTGAATTATCCTGAGGTATTATTATTATTATAGTGTCGCCATACCTGAAGACCTTATCAATGGTGGCATCAACGAAGCTGCTTCACCTCCTGGAGGCCTTCAGCACACCCTGGTTTCTATTCTCGCAGCCACACCATCATCACCTCGTGTTCTTTCTACTAGAAATGTTCAACAACATGATACAGTACCAATTTGATGGTGAGTTTGATATCTATACATATGTGTATACTATAATTAAGTTATATAAAATATTGGGACACTACTTCGTTCATTCTTTGGCGTGTAAAAGTTCCGCTCTTCTCACTTTTAGATAGGGTTACACACCGCTAATGTAAAATACAGCTGTAAGTTGTTAACATTAAAAAGAATAATAAGTAAACCTTATCAAATACGATATTTCAGAAACGAATGTGTTGGTACTTAAGTTCTGGTGTGTTCATAGCACACCGTCTTACTTTGGTAGTTGCGGAATCGATTCAAACATTTGTATTCATGAGTATGATAGTTTTTATTACTCTGGGTTTTAGTCTAGTACCTATATCACAAGCTCTGCTTAGCTCGAGACTAGAAGCTATTGTGTGAATCGTCCAAGAAATATTTAATATGCTTTTAACAAGTTTTATGTCGCTATAGACTCGGTTTTAGTTGTGTATGAAATGGTCGCAGGGAACTCGAATCTAGTGTACACGATCATCCGCAAGCGGAGCGTGTTCCACAGCCTCGCCAACCTGCCGCACGAACACGCCGCCATCGCTCGCTCCCTCACCGCGGCGCGCGCCCGCCCGGCGCCGCCCGCGCTCGCCCTGCCCAGGTACACACGCGGGGGACACGCGGGGACACGCGGGGGACAGGCGCGGGACACGCGGGGGACACGCGGGGCAGTCGGGGCCCGCCCGGCGCCGCCCGCGCTCGCCCTGCCCAGGTACATACGCGGGGGACACGAGGGGACACGCGGGGACACGTGGGGACACGCGGGGCAGTCGGGGCCCGCCCGGCGCCGCCCGCGCTCGCCCTGCCCAGGTACATACGCGGGGGACACGAGGGGACACGCGGGGACACGTGGGGACACGCGGGGCAGTCGGGGCCCGCCCGGCGCCGCCCGCGCTCACCCTGCCCAGGTACACACGCGGGGGACACGCGGGGACACGCGGGGGACAGGCGCGGGACACGCGGGGGACACGCGGGGCAGTCGGGGCCCGCCCGGCGCCGCCCGCGCTCACCCTGCCCAGGTACACACGCGGGGGACACGACGTGGGGACAAGCGGGACACGCGGGGCAGTCGGGGCCCGCCCGGCGCCGCCCGCGCTCGCCCTGCCCAGGTACATACGCGGGGGACACGAGGGGACACGAGGGGACACGCGGGGACACGTGGGGACACGCGGGGCAGTCGGGGCCCGCCCGGCGCCGCCCGCGCTCGCCCTGCCCAGGTACACACGCGGGGGACACGTGGGGACAAGCGGGACACGCGGGGCAGTCGGGGCCCGCCCGGCGCCGCCCGCGCTCGCCCTGCCCAGGTACACACGCGGGGGACACGTGGGGACAAGCGGGACACGCGGGGCAGTCGGGGCCCGCCCGGCGCCGCCCGCGCTCGCCCTGCCCAGGTACACACGGGGACACGTGGGGACACGCGGGGGACACGCGGGGACACGAGGGGACACGCGGCGCAGTCGGGGCCCGCCCGGCGCCGCCCGCGCTCGCCCTGCCCAGGTACACACGGGGACACGAGGGGACACGCGGGGCAGTCGGGGCCCGCCCGGCGCCGCCCGCGCTCGCCCTGCCCAGGTACACACGCGGGGGACATGCGGGGCAATCGGGGCCCGCGCGGGGACATGAGCCCAGCGTGGGGCTTTGAGCGCCTCGCGTGGGGCACATGAGCCCACCGTAGGGAATCATGCGCCCAATTGTGAACAAAACTAAGTGGTTGTTCTAGAGGTAGAATTACGAACACAGGGTAAAATTACTTCAGTAGATGCCGGTGCAGATTTCATAAGCTTAATTATTATAAATATGTTGAGCCGTCTGTGGGTGGTGCGCAGGTCCCGCAGCGCGGAGAGCGTCCCGGAGGCCGCCATGGAGGGCTCCCGGCCCGCGCTGCCCGCCGAGCCCGGGACACTCAACGCCACGCTCGCGGACACGCCCGGTATGATCCTTTATTTTTCTTTTTATTTACATTTTCTTACGGCCCCGGTGGCCTAGTCATTTTGCCATCTCACTTTTGATGGCTGCGGTTTCGATTTTTGTACGATACAATCATTTACAAGAATAATGTAGATATATATTTTCTATAACGTAAATGTCTTCTTTGTATTGGAAGTCTTTTTAGACTAACGTAATATAAGATTTTTTCATAACTTCAATATCTTGGTTAATTTAATTAAAATGTTTTGGAAGTAAACTAACGTAATGTATGTAACCTCATAGTATGTAAGTATATGTTTTGGATATATAAATTCGGTGGAAGGTGTCGCTATTCGCAACAGTTTTATACTTCTGTGAATGTTATCGTTTCTTAAGAATGTTTGTTTTGTGTACAGAAACAAACAAAATTTCTGTTTCAAATAAAATATTATTATTGAGTACTCTAATTTCCAACTAGAGTACTCAATAATAATATTTTATTTCATATATTTTTAATTTTTTCTAAATATATTCTTTATAATATTTTATTTGATACATTTATAATATTTTAACTGATGATATACACCAATACTTCTTTATTATTCTCTTTATTTGCATTCTTTTGACGGCCCCAGTAGCCTAGCTATTTAGCCATCTCATCATATTCTGTCTCGTTCTTACTTTTCTACTAATTACCGTAAATATGATTAAGTAGACATTACCGCATATATCATAGGGATCTGCGGCTTCGGCTGAAATAGCTGAGACTGAAGTAACCACGAAAGCGACTTTTTAGTCTAATATTTTCTTTATATTTTATTATTATTATAAACGCGAAAGTTTATGAGTATGGTTGGATGTTTCTTACTCTTTCACGCAAAAACTGCTGTAAATATAGTTTATACATCAGAATAATATATATACTTAGAAATTTATATTTCCCACGGGTGAAACCGCGAGCACAGCTAGAACATACATAATACTCCAGAAATACATATGTATTTCTAGAGTATTTGTTGTCTCTTTTCCTCTTATTCTACGCAACATACATTCTGTATCGTCCGTACTCTTCTACTAATAACATTTGAGAACCATTCTATAACTTACGTTTTGATATATCATATGTCTTTCTCTCTCTCTTACGATATCTTTGGGACTCTCCTGCACAGCGATAGCGACTATGACGGAGCGCGAGTCAGCGCACCCGCCGCCACTGGAGGCGGAGGCGCGGGGGGGCAGCCCGGGGCGGCGATTACTGCCCACGGCCACCTCTGACTCTGCTCAAGCGAACGGCTCAGACCCCGCACCGGACAGACACACTGTCAACCATGTAAGTTTTTTTCACTGGCTATCAAAGGAATAGCTGTATGTAATGTGATATAATGATATTAATTCCTTGAATTTTCTATATATTTTTATTTATTAAATAGAAGATTATAGATAAGTGAACCCTCTACAGTAATGGCATACTCTGGCGGCCAACAGTAATAGAAATACTTTGTTTAACAATAAAATTTCCTTGTAGTTATTTTTTACCATATTTGATTCAAGCATATTTGATTCAACAACTGACTACACTATCCTATTGTTTAGGCTATATAAGATAATTCTAAGTTTATTTAAAACATATTTTCTTTTTTTTAAATAGTGCCAGAATTATCTTATACAGCCTAAACAATAGAATAACCCTATTCTATTGTTTAGGCTGTATAAGATAATTCTGGTACTATTTAAAAAAAAGTTATAAGTCAGTTGTTATAAATTCGTTAGACAATTTACTACAATGCTTTCCATAGTGAACGTCGATTCTGACTCATTTTTTCTTTGTAATGATCCAATTCGTACTCACAATAGTTAAGCACTAGGTCAAAATGCTATTTCTTTACCGAACCGATTTAAATAAATTTGGTGCACAGATAGTCTACACCCTGAGACAGGACATAGGCTACTTTTTAATGCCAAAAAAGGGTTGTAAAGGCTTGAAAGGGAAGTTTTAAGGGGGTAAAAGAAAATAGGCGATGCAAGTTTGTATGGAAATTCATTATATCGTTATACAATGGAATCTAGAACGATGTAACTTTTTCTTTTTAATTTAGGGTTAGATTATTAAATCTTTAATGCTGTCTAAGGTTTATCCAAGCGGACGAAGTTCCGGGCACAGCTAGTAGTATAATGTGTTATGTTGTTGTTTATAATAAAAATCTATCTTCGTATCAAAACGAATATTAAAAGTACAAGTTCACACATTTCGATTTGAACAATTAAACTTATAATAATTATCTAAAACAATTCCGAATTCCGAATAAGCGGTAGATTAAAGAAATTGTTATGATTATTCAAAAGTGCTTAAATTAAGTTTATTTGAATAAAGGATTTTCTATTCTATTCTATTCTAAAAAATTTTAAAACAGCGGGATAGCATCCGAGTGAGCTCGGGAGGATCTGGTGGCGAGAGCGTGTCCGGTGGCGAGTGTGGCGAGGGTGGCGAGGGTGGCGAGTGGCGACCCAGCAGCGAGTGGGTCGGCAGCTGGCGCGGCAAGTTGCCGCTGCAGACCATCATGCGGCTGCTGCAGGTGCTGGTGCCGCAGGTCGAGAAGATATGCATCGACAAGTGAGACCTTTTACAATTCGATTTTAGTTTTCTTGCTCATTCTTCTTGTGATGAATAAATGGTAGAATGAAAAAAATACGACTATTCAAAAATGCTTATATTGTTTGTATGGATGATAATGGAATGGTCCTCCCGCCTGTGCTGACGGTATACGCTGGCGGGGAACCAGTGGAGGATGATAAGAAGAGCATGAGGTCAGGAAAGAAAGAAAGAAAGAAGAAGAAATAAAAATAATTTTATTGAAATAAACTTGTATTTTGAGGGGATCGCAATCGATGTCGCGGTTCTCTCTATACACAATGATAAATTTCTCGTAAATATGTGGTGAATGTGATTCGCAGGGGCCTAACGGACGAGTCTGAGATCCTGCGGTTCCTGCAGCACGGCACGCTGGTGGGGCTGCTGCCGGTGCCGCATCCGATTCTCATCCGCAAGTACCAGGCCAACGCTGGCACGGCCGCCTGGTTCCGGACCTACATGTGGGGCGTCATATACATACGGTGGGTAACACATTCATAGGAAAACTCTACACACCATCGGTCGACCAAAATGTTTGTTTGAAACTCCAGTTTCGATCATCTGTCCAATTCAAACGGGGATTAAAATTACGGAGCCCTGAACCGAGGTTCGAATCCCCTTGTATACTCGAGACTAAAGTCGTATCCGTCAGTAAGATTTTTTTGTTTTTGTTGGTCTGTGTATTTTCTATATTGTACTTATTTATTTATTTTATTTATTTAAACTCTTTATTGCACCAGACAAAGAAAACACATTTAATAATAGAAAACATATTATATATTTCTATCAGTTGTCTTGTACCCACAAAACAGACTCTGCTTAGCGTGGGACTAGATGGCGTTGTGTCAATTGTCCTGAGTTTAAATAGCAACAAATAAGAGGCGCTTTTATTTATTTTGCTTGAATTGTATTAATAACAAATTTTATTATTATTTATAACTAGTTGTGCCCGCGGTTTCACCCGCGATAAATTTCAATAAAAAATATAGGTTGTGTTATTGTGATGCATAAGCAATATGACTGTAAAATCCGTTCACTAGTTTTTGTGTGAAAGAGACAAACATCCATACTTATAAACGGTCGCATTTATTATATTAATAGTAATAGGGTTAAAATAAAAAAAAGTAACAAGTAATTTTTGATTTCAGTAACGTGGACCCGCCTATCTGGTACGATACAGACGTGAAGCTATTCGAAATACAGCGGGTGTGATCGTAACACGCCTGATGATGACAAGGATCTCGTTCGTGTACAGAAGGCGACAGTGTTCGCGGAACAAGTACAACGGGTAAAACTGCTTTCTTATTATGTAACGCGGTTGCTAACAATTCTCTATTGTAACCAATTAGATTAGCGATAGTTACTTTTAGATTTTTGAATGTTTTAAATAATATTAAATTTGGAAAGTTAAAAAGGAAAGAAAGTGCAATGCAATCACTCACGTTTGCGCGCGCTATCTTTCCCGCGATAAATTGCTCGCGATATCTTTCCCGCGATACATTGCACGCGCTATCTTTCCCGTGCTAAACTGCGCGCGCTATCTTTCCTAAAAAGCTAAAAGAACGTGCCCGTGTAAACTCAGCAGTATAGGTATAGATTTGTGAGTTGTGCAAGCAAACTCAGTACGCAGTTGCAACTGTGAAATGATCCGTATCGCATAGCTATTGATTTTAAACTGTTTGTGTAAAAGTGAAATGTTAGGAACTGCGTCACATAATTCATTACGACACTAACTGACATGTTGTTATTCTATAACTACTTTTCAGATATAATATTTCGTAAATGATATCTGTATTATTGCCTTAGAATTATGTAGTTCTTTCAAATTTATTTCATGTTGTTTCGAATCGAATTTATTCTATCTAGGAAGCGATTCAGAAACAGCGCCATTTTTTCTTTATGACTATGATTATGGCTATGGCTATGGTTGCGGGTTTAATTCCTCGACGGTACAAACATTTGTATTCATAAGTATGATTGTTTGTATCGGTCTGGGTGTTTTTTATGTATATTATGTTATTGAAATATATACATATATATAGTGTATATATATTTGTAACAATAATAAAACGTCGTTATATGTGTGTCTCCCTGAAACATAGACTAGTACCATAAAGACGAAGTGCGGTGAAATCTTATATCTTATTAAACCTAATTCACTTTATGAAAGTAGTGGCGTGAAACTAGTTTTTTATACAAGCACTATGTATGGAGAGATTTGTAATTTGATAATGTAGATTTTGCTAAACAGAAAAACAAACTATGAATTCTAATTTCATCGTGATTTTAGTAATTTATTATTATTTTAGAAAAAAAGAAATATATATTTCATACAAAAGAATCAAAGCAAACATATAATAACATTCATAATATTATAAATGTCTTCACATTTTTTCAATTCGTCTTCGTTTCCATGGAGAACATTTTTATACTTAAATTGCCTAATATCAAATGAAACTGTATAATGAATACACTATATGTTATATAAAGATAAAAAAGCGAAAATTTGTCGATTGTGAACGCAGTGGAATTGTATAGATTCCGTCTATTATGTACCCTTTTTTTACTTGGTGAAATCTGTTATGGAGATTCTCCCGCTCCTGAGGTAACGAACGGGTATTGCTGTCGAAGCCATTGTCGAAGCCACGGACGTGCGGGAGCATTCTTCCGCAGCTCCGACAGTGGGGCCCCTCATCACCATTCTTCTCCAGGAGAAGTACCCCGTCGACATCGCAGCTCTGAGAAGGTACCCCCTTCGGCTGCGATGTTTACGGGGAAGCAACGGCCCCCACAGTAACCGCCGTCTATCTTAACACCTGAGGGCAACACCAGTGTATATAAGATGCTACATTTGACAGGCTGGGAGTACCTACGGTTTAGTACATGGCCTTTCTTCCGATGTTTACATTCCTTGCACAAACCTTTGTATCAATGAGTGTAATTGTAGCGTGCTTTTGTCTTTTCTTTATATATTATTACCAAAATACTGTATTTAAGTATCAGTTGTTTAGTACACATAGTACAAGCTCTGCTTAGTTTAGGTCTAGATGACGCTGTGTAAATTGTACTAGTTGGTTATTTTGTATTTTATTTATGACGAACTAGATGACGTTGTGTGAATTGTCTTTGGTCATTATTATTATAATGACTGTCACTCTCCAACCCATTCCAATTTACATGGATTTAAATTCGTAGTGACGTCTTGACAAAGGCTAATCAAATTGCGTTTACGGAGCGATGATATTGCGTATTCGTGACGTGTACGCTGCGTATGTTTCAATATTGTAAAGAAACTTTGACATGTACTTTAATATACTAACTATAAACTTTGACATGAACCATATATCCTCAGATTTTTTTGTTTAATATGATTTATTTATAGTAATATATATATTGCATCACATATACAGATGCAAAAAGAATCTTTATCATGTAATTATAAGACTACAGATAATATTAAAGTGAGATTAGTGAAGTACCAGTTTTATTTTTACTTATATTTCTTGTTATAATACTTTGTCTTTAAATTTAAAATGTATTTTCTCTTATGAATTCATGATTGTACATAATTTGATTATTCATTTTGCGTAATGATATATTTGTAATGTTTATCTTTGGTTAATAAGTTGATCCTATAGTAGTAATCTGTAAAATTATAATTTTAATTTCACATTCTGGAAGTTTAGAAGCAAGACTATTTTAAATTTAGTGTAATCTTTATTACGAAGATTCAAATAACTAATAATATAAAAAAAATATATAAATGAGATTTGTGTTTTTCTACAGTGAATCTAAACAGTCCGTATGCAATTATCTAAGAATAGAACAGGTTTATGTTTATTGTAGTGAGAAATATTAAATATGGAATTAAAATTATAGTTTTAGAGGTTTAGAAAATAGCTCTTCAGAAGATGTTATATGTGTATATTATACATAATTTATCTTTGAACTGTGACCGTTGCTTTTGACACCTAGTCATATTTAAACGAATTCTGTTAAGTAACTTATGATTACATACTTAATTAAGTTTTTAGAGGCTTTAATAAGTTTTATCGCTTCTATACAGCAGGCTGATTTTTGTGTACGAATTAAAGTGAAATTTCTAATAATTATGGACTTTCACTTTATGGATTGTAACTTATGATTAAACGCTTTAAAAAAGTCATTCAAAACCCCTTCAAGTGGAATCCGAGGTTTATCGTTCCGGACCTTGTATATGTGGGATATACAAGGTCCGGAACGATTTACTGACTATTTTTAAATATCATGTATTTTTTTATTAATTTTCAACTATGTGGATTTGAGTCGATTTATACGAGTTCGTTTATTCTTTATGATTTCGATTTGATATTTCAATTGTTAACACGTTGACTGCCAACTATGAGATACTCGTGGATTTGGTTCTCTTCTAGGACTCCCTGTATCATCCCTTCCAATTGATCCGCCGTCCAATACAAACGGGGATCGAAATTACAACGGCCTAAACCGAGATTCAACCCCTACAGGTGCCCTCAGACTAAAGTCGTACCCGTCAGGCGGGAGTTGGCCTTCAGCCGCGCCCCATATGTCCTTCCACGGGTTTGGAGTACAGTCTGCACTCTCCCTCTATCGTCTGGTGAAGCTGTAAAGGCTAGCTGCGGCCAACAACCTTAGAGTAGTCCGAAAAAAGCGTTATCTCGTGCTGTTTTCTTGCCATTTTTGTGCAGCTACGAGTAAACTCGGAATAGATTGTAATATTGATAGATGGCTTCTGGGAAAAGAACAAAAAATATCTACTATCTTGTGTGAACAGAAAATTTATTAAAAAACGAACAAAAATTATAATTAGAAAAGTGTAATCAATTTTGTGGGATTTCTTTTACAGAACCCCAACTATGAGATAATTATTAAGTCCCTTTTTAAAATATTTTTTTATGCTTTTTGATGATAACTATGCACTAAAGATAGAGGTTTTAATAATGTAATTAATGAAATTGTCATTATAGGTCATATTTCTGAAAATTGCCGGCGCAGTCAACGTGTCCATCAAACGTTAACATTCCCATATTTCCATTTTTTTTTCTCAGAACACTATTATCTATGAATATTTATTTGATTTAATTATGATGGAAGGGTCAACGTGTAACTTAACTACTTAAAAACTTAACTCAATGAGTTTCTGTAAACATTGCCTGTAAGATGTAGTAGAAATTAACAAATCACACAATTTAAACAAATTCTATGTTATTGAACTCTTTGCAAAGATTATTTTTATTAAAAATTATTTTTTTTATTAATAATTTGTAAATAATTTGCCAATTATACATATTTATGCTTAGGATGCATAAAATAGATATTAATCTATGACGTAATTAATTTGTATCAATACTACTTCAATCAATACTAACAAATTTTTGGCACCCCATACTCGTTGACTTTCTTGAGGACTACGGTTTTATATCACCATATTTAGTAGTTCCACTGTTACCTTTAATGTGAACGCAGTTTGCAAATTATTCGAGTCAAGATTCTATAAAGTGGAATGAAGAGAGGGGGAAATGTTACGATACGAAGAAATTGAAATACGCAGTTGCAAATTTATATTGTACGTCTTTTATTTATATTTTATCTTTGATGCACCATCACGCTTAGTTAGTTTCGTATTAATTGTAATTAAGTGAAATTATTACGTAAATTAATAGATAAATACTATTTATTTTATATTATCACTAATGTACTTAATGTTAATGTAAATTGAAAATATAAATATGTGAGCTTGGAATATTGCAATTTTTATTTCTACATACCTTGTATTATTATTTATACAGTATATAAATGGGATGATGTTATTTATGGGCTCCTGGTATTCATCACAAGGCGACGCACACAGTCGCACGGTAGGTATTGGCCTATCACAAGGCGATGCGTACACCCCCGTACGTTAGGTGTTAGCCAATCACAAGGGGACGTAGCCAGCCGCTCGGCAAGTGTTGGCCAATCACATTTCAGGATACTAGGCTAGCAGACATCTTTAGTGAGCCTTTAATGCGATATAGTCAATTACTGTTCTTTTTTCTGCGTTACTATTCTTTTGGATTCAGGCGGTCGCGTAATATATTAATAACGTCGTATATAAATAATAAAATTTATAAGTAAATTCCTTACTTTTTATATTTACATTAATTAGACGCAAATCATCACATTAATTATGAATATATTGTCGTTGTTATCACACTTAGAAACTAGATGGCGCTGTAGTCACTGAAGTCTGGTATAGCGGGGCGCAAATGCTCTCGGCAATTTTAAGGACTGTACGCATGAAAAGTACCAGGCTAGCATAAATCATCAGATCTCGTTCGAGGTGAAAGGTTAATTACTGAATACTATTATTTTCTGTGTTCCTATTCATCTGTTGTAAATTATGTTAGTTTTAATAGAAAATACTCATTAATTTTGTAAATGTCAATGTGTGTTTGTATTTATGTTAATTTTTAAACAGTT